CTATCCATCTGACACTGCACAACTCTTCCTTCTTTTTTGCTGTACTCCTTATATGTGGGTTATATTCTTATATTCCGAAAATTTACTTCAATTTAAGTGGTCAGTATGTTTTTTATCTTGATTTACTACTGTATTGACTACTTCAACATGACGGGTTAAGTAGTGCTTTGGTTATATATATACACTTGCCACACTGATGCCTTTTTCTCTCTCCCTTTTCTCCCTTTTCAGAACCCCATTCACGGTGGGAAATCCTTAGCGCCTCTAGGGAACATGCACCCCATGTACATGACCGTCTGGATCACAGCTCGTATAAACACGTTCCAATTGATCTTTCTCAACAAATTCACTACTGATCTTGGAAAGTCGCCAAAAGAACCTATTGTGCACCTTCCTTATGTGTACTCTACTATTGAAAATATGGCTGTATTTTACTGTTTGTGTCAGTGACATGGTGTAAATATGCTATCGGAAACTGACTCTTATACTTAATTTAATTGCTATAACTTTTACAGTAAATGTGAAAGCATTTATGAAAATTTGATCTAGCCAGTAAACTGGCGTGACTCTTGTAACGCAGTTTTTTTAAAATAAATATATTGTTATTATTGTTCCTCATGGAAGATTCCTTTCCAGTATCACGAAGAAATGCCGTATTACACTTTTTATGATGTTATCTGCCTCGATTTCCAATGCTGCTTGAGATTCAGTTTTATTTTGGCGACCAGCGAGTGGTGGTCTGGGGCTATATCAGCTCCTCTCTTGGTTCTCACGTTCTCCATCGTCCTGAAAGCTTTATCGATGCAGATATGGTGGATTCGGTTGTGAGTAGTGTGATCCGATGATATCCATGTGGCTTTGTGTACGCATGTGTGGAAATATTGTGCCACCTATGACCAGTTTGTTGAAGGCACATCGGTTTGCAAATCACTCACCGTTTCCATTTTATTCTCCAAGTCCGCGTCGTCCCATGCTGTCTTCATATCCAATGTTGTCCATTCCAAAAGAATATTACAAAATTTTCACTATTTCCACTCTTACGCTAAAGCCAATAAAACAGAAGGTAAATGATCTAGGTATTATTTTTTGAACACCAAAAGTAGTTTAAGCATCCAACGAGCTACTATTTAAGTCCGTTCAAAATCTATTTAGGCAAACAGTAATTACCGAGTATAAGTGTTGCTGAACGCAGAACGTTGCAAAGAAAGAAGGGGATATGGATTTTTGTTGCATTTATAAAAACTGTATTTAGATCTCTGTTTCTTCTATCTTACTTGTACTTCTCTCATCTCACACATTCCGTACTACCAATTAATTAAATTATTTAATGAACTATCTTCTTAGTTCTGAAATTTTTCATTAATATTACCATAAGGACTTTCTTCTTATTGTTCTTCACATTCATACTAACTGATCTACGGCCTGGTAATTTGACAGCCACTAGTATTCAGAAACCCTTTTAGTGAGTAACCAATTTGAGATTGACTACGTTCAGGGTAGAATCGATTTTGAATGCCTTTTTTGGCAAATCCCTCCATGTAAAAATTTGTAATAAGTTCTTACTGACTCTATCTGTGCTACATTTTGGTACTTGGTTTAATCTGTTTTGTGATGCTAATATTTATATTTTGTTATAGTTTCTATTTTTTGTATGTTTATTGGAGTTTCTGTGTTTTCTAGGGAACTGTATTATGTTGTTTAAATTGATACTTGATTATGGCGTTAGTCATATCGGATTTGATACCCTGGTGGGTAAAACGCACGACTGGACCTGAATGGAAGCATTCTTCCAGAATTGGAAAAACATTGTGTTAAATTTGAAGAAGAACAGTGTAATATTGTTTAGGTAATTATTTCTATTATTTAATTAATAACAGAACAATTTCTTACCCAAATTCATTGCTATTTATTTGGATATCCGGGCAAGGCGCGTATCTAAACTTCCAGAAATGTTATTCCGAATTCAGAATCCACTCTAAAATCTTACATTCACCAATAGATACTAATTACGAACCCGTCACTGAAAGGATAAATATATCCAGGCGAAAAAGTGTATTTGCTGGTGATTTTGTGGTATCTAACAAACACCGAAATCACACCAAGAAAGCGGGCAAAATAAAGAGCAGCTCGATCCAAAATGGCAGCAAAACAATCAGAAAGTCACGCGCAAAAAAGTATTATAAACAAAAGTACAGTTAATGGATCACTGTTAGAATTGGTTGTAATAATGAATGTTTCTAATTAACTAATCGTGTTCTCTTCTTAGAAGTATTCCACGAGACCCTACTACCCTGAAGCAAACACACTCATTGTTGTCAGGGTGTTTACAAGCTTTCCAATAAGTGCCACCTGATTAGATACTAGTTACTGGAAATTCAATATCCGATATATTTTTCACGAGCTAGTGTAAACCAATTGATTTATTTGCCCTCGATTCTTGTTATTTCAGTACGGTTCCAGGCGTTTGATAGTGTCCAATTAATGGAGGTCTAGCCACTCGACTGTCTAATTCTAGTCAGTCGGCAGTTGGTTGTGAGTTTGTATGTCTCGGGATTTGAATGAAACGTTTGTTTCAGGGCAGTAGGGTTTCTGGATACTAGCAGCCGTCACATTACCAAACCGGAGATCAGTTAGTTGCAATGTTGAGAGTAATAAGGATAATAAGGATAAAATTCTAATGATAATATGAATAAAATTTCAGAACTGAGTAATATATAGATGAACTTAGTTTATTAATTGGTAGTGAGGATTGTGAAAGAGGACCGAAGTGTAAACAAGGGAGAGGAAACAGAGATAATAGGTGAGATAGATTAATTGAGTGATCTGAGGAGATGGCAATGATAACAACTAGCAGGTCTCAAGACATGTATCAGGAACAGGTTGTCCAAGAGGGAGATGATAGTCCGTATGTGAATACGTGATTATCAAGTCTCTTCTGAAAGCTGTCCACTGAGGGGGCTGTGGTTACCTCGGCTGAGAGAGCATTCCAAGTTGCGACGACTTTCAATGAGAAAAATTGTGCACAAATATGAGTATTCTCTCCTTGACGTGCAATCTTTCGAGGATTTCCTCGAGGGGAGTGGTGGTGATGCATCGGTAAGATGCTCACATTGGGATGGTTTGGCCTGTTTAATATGTTTTACGCCATAATCAGATCACCTCCGATTCTTGGGTGATAGCACCAAGTTGTCTTCGCATACCGTTAAGAGTCGCCCTCGCCTTCGCTGCGTTCCCTGTATAGTACAGGCTCGTGTGTAGGCTTTCTGTAGTTATTAAACCGCGATCGCACTCTGAGGACACTTGAAAGCGGACTTCCATCGAGGATGCAAGTCGTTTGCGTCTCGTGGGGCAGAATATACATGACGTGACTCTTCAGTTGACTGAGTTTTAAACCGTTCTTGCCCATTCTTCAATATATGTAAATTCCATTTCAAGCTCAGTCGAATCCTCTTCGCCTCTAGTGGACCTCCAGGTCTTCGCACCACCTGCGTAGATCGATGCCGATGAGCTAACTGAGCCCAACAGGCCATTAATAAATGTCGAGAAGAGAAATGGACCTCTGCAAAACTCATGTGCACTCTATTTACCTTGGTACGAAACTTTCGGTTCTCCAGGTAGTTTCCGAGCCAGGATACTAGTGGGTCAGTGAAGCCCATTCCCACAACATTTTCGATTAGGCGTGCGTGGGGTATTGTGTCGAAAGCTTTTGCAAAGTCGAGAAATAATACGTGCACCGGTTTTTTTTGGCCCAAGCAGGATGTTCAAGTGTCCCATGCTATGAGAAGATTAGATGCGCACGATCTGCATTTCCGAAACCAGTGTTGCGATTCACGGAGTATTTTATTCTTATCCATGTCCATGTTCGTTCACCAGCCCTTTCATTTCTTTTGAAAATATTGGTAGTAATGGTCTTTAACCGTCCGAGTCCTTTCTCTATCTTCTTTTGAAGACTGGAGAAAGAGTAGCTTGTTTCCATTCAGCTGGGAGTTGGTGTAACTCCAGTTGTGGTACCAGCTACTTATAAGTAGTATATGACGTGAGTGTCAACGTAATGTCTGGCAGCAGAAGATGGGGGAAGATCAAGAAAGGAAGAGTTAGAAAACAAAGGGATTTGTATGAAACGCATGAATAGTGACAATGGATTGATGTTTTGCAACAGGAACAGTCCAGTTCGATAGGATGAACTGATATTTTGCAAATGAACAATTTACGACATGTTTTTCCGATTTTACTGAGTAACTCTGTAATTTTCGTTAAATACAATTCGGTTGCCCCACCTGTGTTCTCCTTCACTACACAGTGAATGCCTGAACAGATCATATATAGATGAACGGAGGACTTCTGCACATTTTCTCAAGACTATGGGGCGAATAGTGTCACAACCTGGTGACTTTCCTGAGGGTAAGGATTTCAGTTTCCTCAGTACTAACTCAGGAGTGATACGGATATTCCCTAAGCCTTCAGCTGGCACTAAGTTTGCGTAGTATTCTGAACATGTGGAGATATCATCATCAGGTTCATGAGTTACAATCGTTAGGATTATTTAAGATCACGGCAGGGAAACCTTTTTTGCGAACTAGACACAGATCCTATGAAACAAATATTTTTTCACATCTACTTACCGTAGTTTGAATACGTTATTTACGTTACATACACTCTCCAACCAGATGCGCTCTGTTTGTATTGTTTGCTTTTGTGACGCACCTAGCACTAAAACCACATTAATTTATTAGTCATTTCTAGGTAACGTTGAATTCGTGTCTATTCAGTAGTGGATGTTATCTGTCTACTTGATCATAAAATTTTTACCTATTAAAATACTCGTCCATTGATTGGCTCACCGTCTCTTTTATTTCAGATTTCTCAGTGATACTTCATCCAACAATAAAGTACTTCTAAGAACGATGCAAATTTTTCGCTACCTCAATGTAATATTATTTCAAGAGGTGATATTCTGAAGAGAAACAAAGTTTTGTTGCTAAAAAGGTGTTACAATATAAATGACACAATCTCGTCGAGACAAGAAGTTAAATGGGGCGGACACGTTCGAAGTATAACTTGCTATAATTATGTAATTGTCCGATTTTAGAGCTTGTCCGAGGTTTTTCGTTGTTTTATATGTATGGAGAGACTTAATAATGCTCGTTTATGTCCTCACTGCTCGAAATTGTGTTGCTACAAATGTATAAGAGTAAGTTTAATTGCAATTATGCTTGAAACTCCATAGAAATGGATCACGGAGACACGGTCCCAATGCCCTCATTGCCGGTACGTTTATGGTAGCTACGCTCTTTCTTAAAATTTTTGGACTTTTTTGTAAGGGTCAGACTGCGGAGGAAATTTCGGGACATCCTCATCTGATATTTTTAGCGGGATTGTAACCATAAACTTCAAGTTTTGTGTTGCCAAAAGTTATTCCGTTTGGGATTTTTTCCTCAAAACTGTATACAAGTTTGACAGAATATCTCTAACGATATATAACAGTTGTCGTATCATCACTTTTTCCTAATTATGAATTTTATCAATAACACTAATCTTTGCTTTCAGGCTTTTTGTTATGAGTAATGTTAAGGTTATTCTATAGTCACTTCCGCAGTCTACAACCTGAGAATGCATGATTTTAAAATTTCCGCAAACGTAACACTTCCCCAATATTTTGTTGGTAGTTTAAACTTCAGGCATTTTCATTGGGGGTCCTGGAATAACTGGATCCAATTTTGCCGTCTGCCCACAACTTCCTTAACTCACTTAGTAGCACACGCGTTATTTCTCATTTATTCAGCTGTCTTAGTCGATTTATAAGATTAAGTTATTGTGTATTCAAGTATTCACCTAGAAAACACCTAATTGCTATAAAACTTTTAACAAATAGGTTTTCCTTAAAACAATTCACCAAGTAAAATACTTCTATGCCATTGTGTTTTTTGACCATTGATGAATTTCTAGTGTTATAGAAACGGCTGTTTAGTTGGAAGTTTTCCAGAACAGCGAAATTCAGGAATAACACCGTAACATACTTATGATGCAGATTACCATTTTACCTGAATATAAATTTTCGTAGTTCTGAATACTAGTTAACGCCGATTTCCGTAACTAATCTAATGTTCTCTTTCACCATCTGTAAAATGCGTCATCTGGTAGCTGAATTTAAGGCATATTTTTTGAAGTACATTTCACAAATTTAAGAGAAGGACGTCAATACTTAGTTATTTTGAATTAACTAAACTTATTAGCTTCCTTATTGCTGATGATGAAGAAACTAGATGAAATGAGTCTATTACATTCTTTGAGCATCGTTGTTATTACTATCTCTCGATCTTTAAAAAAACATTGCGAATTGTGAAACGCATCAAAACCGTTCATTATCAGTGAGGTCAGATACAAAGCATCAGCGCAAGCTCCTCCCTTTCGGTCAATGTATGCAATTAATTCTTTGGTCACATTTTTAATTGTCTATATTCGTGCATAAAGCCGACTTGTAGACAGTAACCTTTTAAATAAGATAAATCATAATCTTACTTGAAAGTGTGTGGTTTCTGATTATAAACTGTTCTCTTTAATCCCGGCTTGATGCAAAATACGATAAGACTTTCAACCCGAACCTAAGTTTTCCGAGTAGGAAAGCAGTTAAATGAAAATATACACTGATCAATTAACTGTAACATTACATGCCATCAATGCTTACTGTTCGCATTCGGTTGTTATTAAAGTTTTAGTTAATTATATATTTCTGACATATGTTCATCAGCACTAATACTTTCATTTATAAATTCACGTTTTAAAGATTCCTCCATTTTAATGATAACTTTCATGAAACTGAATTATCTTCGTTATTATGTGGCTTGATGGTTCTCAGCTCGATTCTGTGTTGGTCTTTCTTATTCAAATTGTTAAAGAACCCTTAACCAGTTTAACTTTTCAGTATGTTTCTTGATTGCTAAAGAACACTTTAATTGATACCAGTTTATTTTTTTTTCACAAATATTATTGTTCCATAACAATATGTTACATTTAGGAAACCAGCTTTTTATGTAATATCACTAACAATACTGATCTTGATTTTTTTTAAAATTCCGTTTTGATTTAAAGATCATGCGTTTCTCATGTTATATTACTGATTTTATCATTTGAGTGTAATTTATTTGATCGACCAGTTTCAGCAAGAAAAATGATCGCATACAGAATACGATTAGTTTGTTGTAATTCACTATCTCCTCTTCAGCTACAAACAAGCTTGAGGTGATATCACTTTGAGCAATTATAAAAATGACCCTTTTTAAAAGCCTTAATTCTTAAATTTTTCCACATTGCAACTTATTTGTTATCGATTGGCAGTTCATTTTCCACTGTCATGATAACAATTGGAAGTAGGTGAACATGTTAGCTTGTATGAAGCTGGGAAAAAGGAAAATACACAATTAGTTAATCGCAGTCAGCATATATTGTTATTGTTCCTTTTCTTCGACCTGTGAAAGAAACCATTTTCCTGAAATGTCTTAATTTTACAGTTTATGCTTTGTTTTTGAATAAATCAGTATGGTGAATAATTTTTTCTGCTCATCTTTCATATTGTCCAAATGGGATAGTTTAATTCACCTCTTTCCTCTTATTACTTTACTAAACCAAGGGCTTCATTGCATATTTACGAATTGATCAATTGTCGTTGGGCCGATGAAGTTACTCAACAATTGGATAATTTGCAGTCTCAAGCTAGTTCATCTAGATCTGGTGGTGGTCAAAATGAAGCATTGGGAGGGTCATCAACCAGTAACGCATTATCGACGTCTAGAACTGAGTTGTAAGATTGTGATTGTTAGTTTTTGTGTATGTATTTGTTGAATATATGTCGTAAATGTCATACTTGATTCAGGGGGTAAGAGTCCTTCCTACTAACAAATATCTAATTATGAAGTCTAAGGCTTTATATTTTTTATGTAAGAAGAAACGTGTGTGGATTCGTGTAGGAATAATTGGTTCAAATGTGATGATATTTATCAGACTGACCACATGGATACTGCTTTTTGAGAGCTTCCTGCTTCAGTAGTTGATTTGATTAGTCTAGCTCTTGATACGTTTCGATTATGTGTTCTCGTGATCGCCATTAATTAATGAAACGTTTGTTATCTCCGAACATATTGAAAGTTGGAACTCAGGGAGTGCTAGTGATTTTTAAGTATCATTTATCGAGTTGAAAAGCCAACACATGTGAACCATATCACTTGCTTTTGGACAGAATCAATTTAAGGTGTCTAGGAGGAGCGTTTAATGTAGGTGGTATAATGCTGATTTCTTCTAAGCGTTCATACTCTTCCTTGTTTGTTGAATGTGTTTCATAACGTGGCATATTGATAATTAAAACTTATGAAAAAGATGTTACTTGCAGAATATCATGAATTAAATGGAGTTGGAAAAATGAACCGTTAAATGCCGACTCATTAATCTAAGGGCTGCACACTCGCTTTAAAACGTGAAGATTTTGAGTTTAGTCGATGATAGGATAATCGGCGTGCATTCGTAATTTCCTAATATCTTGTTCAGCTAGAATCCGGTTTGTTTTCTCTCCTAGTAGGTTGTTACTGATGGTGTCTGGACAACGTATCCGCAGTATTTTGGCTTTTGTAAGCACCAGTAATAAGTAACGATAAAATCGATAAAGCTCAGTTAATTAAGATAAGATTTCTAATCTAGAAGACAGTCGAAAAAAGACCTAATAATGTAATTAATTGAAACAAAGGGATGGACAAAATTTCATGATGTGATGAAGGAATATTTATCACTGAGGTAAAGATAGATTAATAACCATCTCCTTTAAAACACAAATCAGGTTATGAGCGCCTGGGAGTAATCGCTTCAGCGAACTTCGGAAGACAAGCTTGATCGTTTAATAATTGCCTTGAAAAATTGCAAGATGTTAACCTGACGTCCTGTATCTAATCGACGCTTTGTTATCTCACAACTTAACGTAGATATTTCCCTTGTTCAAAAACCTTTTGGAGCATTTTCAGAAAACTTAAGATATGCCTTCTTCCTGTCCGACCAATGTCATTGCTTTGACTAGTACATAAAAATTCATAGATACAGTTGGCAGTAACATAAGAGGGTTGCTTGTTGACCTTTGTTTTGGTTATTGAAAATGTTGTTTTATACAGTATTAACAGTTTGATTGAGGGGTAAGTTTCGGTTAATTTTGTCAAAAGGGCTCTGTAACTGTTTGAGAATCTGTATACAAACCAGGGAGTACACAAAATCCCCTTTAGCTACTCAGGATTCATACAAAGTACCTTGGGAAATTATGAAAAATGCCCATACTCTTCCCTAATATGATTAGGCAAATGCCAAGTTAATTACTAATTCGGATTGCTTTTTAGTAACTGTTATAATCCCAAGGTCACTTCTAACCCTATAAATAAACTATCTTTTGTCCCTGGACTAAGCTTTGGGATATAATTCACCTCAGATTTTTCCCTTTCAGCTTCATTCAGGGGTTCAAGTGGTAGTCTAGGAACCAGTTAAAAGTCTGTACTTTAAGTATTCAGCATTTGTCAACTAGTCATGGTTGTCCTTTATGACTGGAAGAAATGCATAACTCTCAACTGATTTGTTGATAGTGGAGTGTTTACAACATTATTAACTCCTATTTAAGTGTTTCGTTTTCTTTCCTTATAAAATTTTCTCCATGGTGATTTTCAAAGCTTAGATAGCTCTAATATTTCGGAAGATATCAAATGGAGATGTACTCCTGACTGAGTTAGTTGTTCTCATTCCTTTCGACCACCCACTGATTACGTCAAATGCAACTATAAGTTTCTCCAAAATGTTTATGCTGCATGTAATTCTTTCTTCCATTCAAATACAATTAGGTACTTGTACTTGATCATTAAATAGCTGTTTTTCGTTCAATTCGTGTCGCTTACCTGGATCACTTGTGTTGTTCAATTTCGTTCTGACTAGCTATCTGAATCTAGTCGGATTTGATTCATTGTTAGTACGTATTGTTTCACTATGTCTGGTTTCCTTCTACTTTTTAGTCGACTCTTTAAGTGGATTTGATTTTGTCAGATTACTTAAAGGAAATATTCTGGATTTGTTTTTCATATGTTATTATTTGTTTTGATAATTCGACCTTTGTTTTTCTGTCTTGGTGGATCGAATAATTGGCTTTTCATTTGACAATTGGTTTAATCAGAGTTAGTTGATGAAAAACGGTGTTTATTAATTTTATTTTTAAGATTCCTTCTTTGGTTTACGTCTTACATCCAAACTGACCTCTTGAATATTTTTCTGATATTGCTCAAGAATGATGTCCAACTTTTTGTGTTAATATTAATTGAAGTACAATTTGATGCTTCAACTTTCAAATTTTACGAACCTATATGGCTTATATTCATAACCCTAACCGTCATCTTTGTATGCAACATTACTAACAAAATTAATTTTATTTTATCATTATCAATAATAATAATAATAATAATAATTAAAAAATCCTCCTCTCTCTCTTCATCTTCATTGTTATCTTTTCAATCGGGATTAAATTGATGAATTTTCCATATCATTGGATCATTTAAAGTTGTGAATTGCATAATGAACGTTTGTCTGTATTTTGTACAACATGTGGTTATGCTATATGTCATCAATGTGCATTATTTGATACTGCTCATGAACAGCATTCATTTCGTCCATTAGATGATGTTTATAAGGAGCATGTGAAACAGATCAAAAACGAAATGGATCAATTTAAACGTAGACATTTAGAACTAATATCATTATTTCAAGATGTTGTAAGTTATCTTTACTTTTTTTCCTATTATTATTATTATTATTATTATTATTATTGTTATTATTATTCCTTTTGTTGTCTTCATCACCAAATCTTCCAAATAAGTAAAACGAAATAACAACAATACTAAGAAGAATTCATCATGAATTTTTAAGACATTATTCGAACAATATATATAGTTTAGTAAACTGGTCAAACATGTGTAAAGTGAAGTAATCGATGCAAGTTGTGGCATTGTCTCAAATTGCTTAACATTTCAAACGTATCAAGCTGTCAGTAAACTTAAAGGTCCCAAGTGACGTTGTAGGTGTGTATTATTCTCAAACACTTTCAAACTGTCATGTAGTGATCTTGGGCATTCAATAGTTCCTCCCCTGTTGTTACCACTCGCTGATAAAAATTATCTTCAAGTTTAATAATAGGTTAAAATTGTATGAAAAGTGGAATTAGAATATCTGAACTGCACTAAATTATTGATGAGTGAGTTAAAGAAAACGCCTAACTCACATCAGAATTTATAATTCAATCTACTAAGCATTGGTTTACACCTAATCACTAATGTTATAATGTTGGCCTAATGGATTACATATTCTACTGGAAAAACCACTCGTTTAATGATCCTAGTATTTTGATTACTGTACCTTATTGTCAGACCAAAAAATTACTTTTGTTAAGGAAACACTATTAAAATATGAATAACTTCGTAGTTATTAATTTTTTTACAGTTTGAGTAGTTTATCTTATCAATAAACATGCTGGTACTATACGTTAACCGTATATATCCATCCTTAGAAACCTGTAGACTTTATTAAAACAAAACAGAATAACAGCAGTAGAATTCCTTCCAAAAATCCTAAACTAAATCTCTTTGTGTCATTCTGAAGTGAAATAAGGTTGAATTGAATTCTAAAAGTTATGCAGCGAATCATATTTTAAGAACTTTAAGTTCCCTAAAACACAGTTTTCACCAAACCAACTATACTTCACGGGTACAAAGATAATTTAGGACTCAGTTTCTCGAGCGTCTTCATACATGAAGCATAATGTAGACAGAGAGCTAAGCTCTGAAGTTTTATTTTTCCGTACTTAATAAACATAAAGTACAATTCTAACAAATAAAAAGATTCAGTTAAGAGTAGAAGATATTCGTAGGTTACTGGTTTTCGATCATAGGTGTCTTCGAAGCATTGCTCGTATATCCTGGGATACCCGAGTGAGCAACGCTGTTATTAGGAAATGTGTGCTAGGTAATGATGGCAGATCAACAGACAAAGTATTGAAACTTCATCAGTTGAGGTGGTTGGGACATGTGTTACGTATGCCCAACCGCAGACTGCTTCGGCGAGCAATGTTTCATGGTGTAGGAGTAGGTTGGAAGACAGCTAGACGCGGCCAGACCGAAACATGGCAGAAATCAATGAAGTCACGGACAAGTGGACTAAGTCATGTCGGTAGGTGTCGACTACCTGGTCAGGGTCCGCGGGATGATAGTAATCGATGGTTAGAAACCCTCAATTACATGACTCAAAACCGTTTACATTGGCTCATGTGCATTCATTCTTTGTGTCCATTCAAGTCCTAACCTTTTTAATTCCTTATCACTTTATCTTTTTATTTTCAAGTTTATTTCACTAGATTCTACCTCTTGAATAATATCTTTGAACCCTAATCTCTCCGATTACTGCTAATACCTTTACCTCCTCTACTACAATGGGATTTGAATCGACAACTACATCTCTGTGCTAATGTGGTATGGCAACTTGAACTGATGTATATACGTATTTACGACTTTGTACGTTGCTGTTGACTGATTGATTGGTTGGATAATACGGAGGAAATGTGTATTTAAGTCTTCTTAAATCCGATACTTAGAATAGTCCTATCATTTTTTAAATCATTTTGACATAATATTCATGAATATTGTTATTGAAATAGGAGAAAAATGTACAGGCTGTAAAACAAGCTAAAGAAGAACGTGTTCGAGAATTACGCAATGCAGTGGAGTTAATGGTAGCACGTTTAGATTCACAATTAAAATCAAAACTGGTTACTTTAATGAGTCAACGTAGCCAATTATTTCAGGTACGTTAAATTTATTTTTTAAATTACTTTCAACAAACATAAAATCAGTCCTTTTGGTGAATATTATTTATTGTGGTTCTCTCAGGTATTATTACTTTCATGCATATTTATATTCTCGTCGAATTTTCTGTCCGGTTGACCTCTGAATGCCTAATTTATTGACTCATTCTATATGATTAATCTGTGTTCTGTATTTGTAGAAATTCCTCGAGATTGTTCATACTTTTAAGATTTTTCCAATAGAATTTGTGTTTTTACTAATCAGCATATATCGATAAAAGTGATAACATTTTATAGTGTGGCCAATAGTCAATCTTCATATACGTTTTAGTGAGACTACCATCTTTGTTCAGTATCATAATTCCTTCAGTTGGTACAAAGTTGTGTGGCAGCCTACCACGATGTTATGCTTTTCAATCTGTCTAAAAAGCAGTAAAGTCATTGTATTAGTTTATGAATGATGTTGATTCCGAAAGGTTTCCTATAGTTTACGACAGTCGCCGACTCTATTTTTAGAGTGACCATGGTGTTAACTCATGTAGAGTTATTGAAATCCAAAGTGAACTATCGTGTACCTTCTTAGTTTTCGATAATTTTTCAACTAGCAGAATATCACATTCATAGCCTATTGCAATTTTAAAATCTGTATACGTTATATGATTACCACGTACGTTTTTTTTTCAGTTAAAAAGTTTCATCTTCTTTTAATAATTAGGAAATTGAATCACTTGAAAATCTTTTACATGATGTTCAATATGCAGTAGATATTGCCAAACCATCTGAAATGGTCGAACGATCATCGGAAATTTTAGCACTACTTAATGATGTACACTGTAAACCAATGGCTTCATTTGTTAGTGCACCTGTACCGGCTGATTTTGTAAGGTAAATAAGTATGTATGTTTTCATTGTTGAAATTACAAACTGATCTAAGCTAGACCACCACTAGAAACCTGGAGGCACTGAACGGTTGTTTCGTTTTATTATCGTATTCCTCAACAGTGCTCACCCACGACCCTGGCACGCGAGAATCCGACCTAGGACATTCGTTTTCTCTTCGTTAGAAATATATGTATATTGTTTTTCAATTACGTAAATTGTTCTCAACTTCATCTAATCAGATGGAATAATAGTGTTCCACTATTTGAAGCTAATTGTTGCAGTATTAAATAAGTAATAAAAGTCAAATATATGCATTTATGACATTTATACTTAGAGACAGTGTATCGTGATTTCAATGAATTCAGTCAGTCAGTTACAACGTAGAACTTGGTACGTGCGTACGCACGTACATCAGTTCAGTTTGCCACACAACATTGACACACAGATTTAATTGTCAATTCAAATCCCATAGTAGTAAAGGTAGTAATTGTATTAGCAGTAATCGGAGAGATTAGGGTTCGAAGATATCATTCAATGAGATAATTTTAGTAAGAGAAAGATAGTGATGATGAGGAATTCAGAAGATTAAAATTTCATAGTACACAAAGAGTGGATGCACGTGCTCCATTGCAAACGATTTTGAGTTATGTCGTTCAATGTCTAACCATCGGTTACTCTCACAGACCCCAACCACGTAGTCTACACTAACCAACCTGGCTCAATCTAGTTGTCAGTGACTTCATGGATTTGTGCCATATTTTGGTCTGGCCGCCTCTAGCTGTCTTCCAACCTACCTCGCTCGACGACGCAATCTGCGGTTGGGCATACGCAACACATGTCATAAATACCTCATACATCTGCATCTTAGCTGTCCACTGGATACCATGCTTCCCTCCAGTTGTTGACGACTTCATAATGCAGTCGATCACCAGGAGAAAGAGAAAGGGTGAGAGTAAGCAACCTTGCCTGACACCGGTTTTCACCTCGAAAGAGTCTGTTAGCTGTACTTCGTGTACGATTTTGCAGTTGAATCCATCATAAGAATTCCGTATGATGTTAACGATTTTCTCAGGCACACCGTAGTGTCGAAGAAGCCTCCACAGTGTTTTCCTATCCACGATATCGAATGCTTTCTCGTAGTCAATGAAGTTGATGTAGATTGGTGGGTTCCATTCAATTGATTGTTCCACAATGATCCGTAATGTAGCTATTCGGTTAGTACACGATCGATCCTCATAAAATCCAGCCTGTTGATCTCAAAGTTGGGCGTCTACGAAGTCCTTCATTCTGTTTAACAATACCCTGTTGAAGACTTTGCCTGGTATTGAAAGAAGAATGATGCCTCTGTAGTTCTCACACTTGCTGAGATCACCTTTCTTTGGTATTTTGATGAGGTATCCTTCTTTCCAATCTGATGGTACTTGTTCCTCATCCCAAATCTTCTTGAAGAGGATGTGAAATATTTTCGCAGTTGCTTCTACATCTGCTTTCATTGCCTCTGCTGGAATGTTTTTGCAAGAGTACCAACAGAGATCCATTCCTTTTGATGGTACTTCTTGTGACCCACAACTTCGTGACATGTTGAAGTGATTGCCTCCTTAATCCCTTTCCAATTGTTCTCCCGTTTTGCGTCCTCTCCATTGATTAGATCTTGTAAGGCCTGGAACCTATTGGTGAGGGCTATCTTGAATACGTTGAGCTTTACAGTATCCCGAAGAAAGGCTGTATCAAACTTGTGTGATGTTGTCTGCCCCGTTGTCCAGTGCTTCTTTATTTTCAGTTTCATTTTGGCGACCAGCAAATGGTGATCTGAAGCTATATCAGCTCCTCTCTTGGTTCTCACATCCTCCATAGTCCTTCTGAACATTTTGTTGATACAGATATGGTCAATTTGGTTTTGAGTAGTGTGGTCCGGTGAAATCCATGTGGCTTTATGAATGCGTTTGTGAGGGAATATTGTGCCACCGATGAACATTTTGTTGAAGGTACATAGGTTTGCAGATCTCTCACCGTTTTCGTTCCTTTCTGGCAGTCCATGTTGTCCCATGATGTCTTCATATCCAGTGTTGTCCATTCCAACCTTGGCATTCAGGTCAAATCCTTTGGTGAGTATCTGTTGACGATTGACTGCAACCTCTCGTAGAATTGATCTTTAACGTCGTCATTGTAGTCATTGGTAGGTGCATAACATTGGATGACATTCGTTGAAATGTCCTCTTTCTTGGTTTTGAATGATCCGTTAATGATCCTGAGTCCATGAGATTCCCATCCTATCAGTGGGTTTTGTGCTTATTTGGACAGCATCAGTGCAACTCCTTGTGTATGTGAGTCATTTTCCCCTTCATGACTAGGCTAAAACAGCAGTTCCCCTGAAGCAAGTCTCAGTTGTCCTACGTGTGTCCAATGCGTTTCATTGATGACGAGCACCCCGAGGTTGTATCTTTTCATTTCTGCCGCAACTTGAAATAGTCTTCCAGTCTCCCACAATGTACGAATGTTCCATGTACCTAAAAGACTAGTTGCTCTGGTTGTCACAAGAGGGATCGGCCTCGTGACTTCTGAGGGAACTCGGCTTTCATCATGAGACGTCATAATTCTTCTTCCGACTGCCAGGGCAGAGTTAAAATGGTTTGAATTGGTTTTTCTGGTTAGCGTTTATTGGAAAGTTTGTTTTTGTCGGAATGGGGTCGCTAAACCCCTCCTTCTTTACCCGGGCTTGGGACCGGCAGTAGCCCCGAAGGTTCTACTGGCGGAGTTAGTTCAGGTGCTAACGCAAGCCAATCTTGAAGCAACATTTTGAATTTCGAAGGGAAAACCGCACATCCCAAACGTGCTTGCACTGTTACTTAGGGTGGTCAGAAGACTTCATTTTTTCAGTGTCTTCACCAAATAAAACTATCTGATCGGCATATTCTAAGTCAACAAGCAAGTCTTTTGATAGATGGTCCACCCTTGAAAAGTCGGACGAAGATGATGTCGACTCTAAAAGCATATCTGCGACAAAGTTAAACAAGAATGGTGAGAGTGGGCAACCCTGACGGACACCACTTGAAGTAATCAATTTCGATGATAGTTCGCCATAAACTATAACTCAACTAGTAGTGTTCGAGTAGAGAGCCTGTATAAGGTTAGTATACTTCTTCGGTACACCTCTTAATGACAGACGCAGCCTCAGAACCTCACGATCCACTGAGTCAAATGCCGCTTTTAGGACGTCTAAATGTGTGTCTGTGTTCCAGGACCTGTCGTAGTGTGAAGATGTGGTCTATACAACCACGTCCAGGTCGAAAACCAGACTGGTTTTCTCTAGTCTGCTCTTCACGAGCTCTAGTTAAGCGTCGGAGTATTATTGAGGCCAATTTTTTAGATACTACATAAGTTAAACTGATTTCTCTGTGATTGTCACAAGAGGACTTTTGTCCTCTTTCGTAGATTGGGACAATCAGTGCTTGCGAACAGTCAGCCATCTAACTGTTAAAACTGAACTACCATCCTTAACAGTTTCACGGGTAAGCCTGTCAGGCTCTGCTGCTCTCCTTCACTCCCGACTTACATCGTTATGCCACTCAGGATGACTGAAGTTCGTGGGCAACCAAAGTGTGGCTGAAGGCTAGTTCAACTGATTCCCACAGTGTTCTACCTATCGATCCAATTTCCTGGGTCGAGAATAAATGATACAACCATCCTTTTCGCTAACAGATGGATTCCCGGTACCAGTTTCCTTGATAAGGTGGAACAGTTGTCTATCATTATCTATCATCGCTCTTGCTTTCGCTACTCACCAGTGTTTGCGCTCATTGCGTAAGTTTTTTATCAGCCTGAGCTTAAGGTGACTTCGCTCTTCGTCATAATCAGAGCCAAGTGGGATGAGTTTCGGAGCATCTATCAGTTAGACGGCTTCTTCCTGACCTTATGGTTTGCCTTACTAGCAGATATCACTGCTGTTACTACAGCTTTTCGGACATCGTTCCAATCTGCCTCGGGATGGGAATCACTGTTTTTCTTATTGTTCTTGAAATATATTCTTAGCTATTCTGTCGTTAAGTAGAACCCTAAGAGGTTTGTTTGCGGTGTCTTTCCTATGTCCAGTAAGTCGCAAACAAACACGTGCTCGCGCTAGAGCATGATCTGAATATAAACATGTGCACTAGGATGGGTTGCTGTCTCCTAATTAATCTCTCCACCGATGGCTGATAGCGGTGTGATATAGTCGGATCGGCTTTGAGGGTCGTCATGTTAAAAGATGTTTTTCCTTTTGCTTAAAGTTACTATTTGCGAGAAATAGGCTGTTGTCTGAGCATAGTTGCATCAGACGATCGCTATTTTCTGTTTTTTGGGTCGCAACACCATCAGACCCACCAAGGTGTCTTTCCTTTTCACATAGTCTACCTACTTGAGCACTGAAGTCTCCAACCACTATTACTATATCAGAGCGCCTAACGTTTTGGAGGGGTTCAAATAGCCTTCTGTAAAACTCATCTTTCACCTCGTCTGAACTGCAGTTAGTGGGAACGTAGGTAGAGACGATGAAGAGGCAGTAGTGATTCTCCCCATCTTTTCGAGTCTTACTGTCCCGCTTAGTTGGACAGCAGAGAAGCAACTATCGATTGGAATCCAGTCTAAGAGAGCTAGTTCTGTCTTAGAACTTAATACTATACATACACCAGCGAGGCCACGGGCTTCCAGGTACACAAAGCCTAAATCGAGTTGATTCTCTATCTGGACAAGGTGAAATCAACTTTATGTTTTTACTCGGATTCTGTATGGGCGTTTCCGAGACGCAGGATACATCGATGGCATGGGATTTCGGAGTCCTAGCTAAGAAAGCCTCTTGTCACTTCCCGTCTGCCCACACCGTGGAAGGGTGTTTCTTGAGGAGTCTAAAAAGGCAATCTGGTTGGTGTTGGTCCTAGAGACCTGGGAGCGTGTTCTCAGATCCTAGGGGACAATTGCTTGAGGTCAGTCACGCACGGCCATTTTAAGAGAAGTTTTTAAATTATTAGTTCCGCTTTTATTAAAGTTCATAACGCCGGAAACGGAAATCCATACTGTAAAAGGTGTGACATTTTCAAGGTCGGTTCCTAGTAAAGATCGAATTGGTTTATCCAAAATGAATCATGAAATCAACAATCAACCAGAAGGTTTTATTTCTCAATCATGGTGTACAAATTATTTGCGAACTCTACCGTTTTTGGAAGTGTTTATTTGATGGAGACTACACTGCAGCATACATTTAGATTTTGCACTAGAGTCTTATTTAGATGGTAGTTTTGCCTTGATATAATGAATGAATCATTGTTAGACCGCCATTAGAAACCTGGAAGCACTGGATGGCTGTCTCGTCCTATTATGGTGCTCATGAGCTATGAATGGTACGATGGAAACTACATTTAAATTAAGTGGTTGTCAATAAATGGTTCATAAGCTGATTTCTTTATGACTACTCGTTGTCGTTTTAGTGGTCAGCCATCGTTGTGTCCATGAGATCACGCAGCATTTTTAGAAATTGGCGAATCTCATAAGATCGATTAAGCTTCAATAACATGTAAATAGGCTTTTAAAATTGCTCTTTAGTTAATTGAATGGCCTGATATATCGAGGCAATAATGATGTATCAAGAAGCATTCACTGCGACTACAACATCTTAGAAATATATTGACTATAACTCAGACTATTCATTAATAGAAAGTAGTATATCATCAAACATAAAAACAAAATTGTTACAGAATGTTTGGTCTTAACAGGTGTAATTAATAACACCAAGGAGCCTAAAGTCAATTATTTTCTTATAGCTTTCTTGTTTAAAAAGTTTTCAAATAAATCAAATCAGGGCGGCCAAACCAAAACATGGAGCAAATCTATGAAGTCACTGACAACTAGATTGAGTCAGGTTGGTAAGTGTAGACTACGTGGTTGGTGTCTGTTTGAGTAACCGACGGTTAGAGACCTGGAAAGACATAACTCAAAATCATTTGCAATGGCGCACGTAATGTACTCTTTGTGTACTATGAAATTTTAATCTTCTGAATCCCTTAAGATCGTTATTTCTCTTTTTAAATTTATTTCACTGGGATGTACTTTTCGAATCATATCTTTGTACCCTAGCCTTTTCTATTATCTCTAACACTTCTACTACCTCTACTACTATGGGGATTGAATTAGCAGTTCGATCTCTCTATGCTAATTTGTTATGGAAACTTGAACTTATGTACGTACATACGAAGTTCTACATTGTAGCTGACTGAGTGACTGAAAGAACTCAATACAAATTTTTTTAGCTTTCTTAAATAGTCTTAAAATTTTATCTTCCCCTGTTGCTCCATTAGTTAACGCTTGTTTAAATTCGTCGACGAATCCTTAATTGTGCTGATATTTGTTACTCTGTCGATTGTGACTTCCGTGTTTAAAAGTAGAAGCTCAGAAAGCGGTGAATTAGTATAAATATCTTCGATATTTTTGTTTTCTTTGTTCTCTTCGTTCTTCTAAGATTTATATTTTCTTATCACTCTTTTTTTTAGTGAAATTGTACCTCCTTATGAATCCAGTACATTTACACTTCAGCCTTATTCAATCATGAAGCAAAGAGCTGATCCTGTATATAGCCAACCATTACATGTAGGTGGCTTAAGTTGGCGTCTTAAAGTTTATCCAGACGGTAATGGCGTTGTACGTGGTAATTATTTATCGGTATTTTTGGAGCTATCAGCTGGATTATTAGAAGCATCCAAGTAAGCATTGCTCATATTGTTTCTTCTGTTTTACAAATTCTGAAAAAGTATCACTGATTTTTAAACGAGTCATTTCAACTGTTTGACTTTATACAAGCCACCTGATTGGTATTACACGGTAGTCAGTAGTTTACGTTGTTCTATTCTGTTCACTTTACTACTTATTTTTATCTTGTCATTGTTTGTTACAATTTTTCTAGCGAGAACACTGGCCTCAACACATTTTGTACGTCACGTGATACTAAAAATATGTTAAAACAGTTCATTGATTATGATAATTGGTGTTGTTTAATTAGGTTAAAAGTGATTCACTGGAATTTTTTAAAGTTGTCAAAAAATTCTTGAAATATCGTTTTTATTTTTACTTTGAAAAATGGTACAATTTATGAATTTTAACTAACGATCCACCAGGATTTTCTCTAAAAACTAAGTCTTGTTGGTCATGACAAAATAATCCCCCAACATCCGATCCTCTCTCTTGCATATACTCTTAATATTTGGTCTTTGCATTGAAATAATCGTAAATATTTCTCAGTGTCCACATTTATATCATCAACATGATGTATTGTTTTTCTTACATTTGTGATTATCATTCACGTTGAAATTCACGAGTAACACACGTCATAAACATGAATCCATAGGTGTCACTAATCTCTAATTGACTGTTTGTAGGGCACTTTTTTCCGAATAAGTGTTCTAGTTTTCTATGGTTTATTATCATATTGATAATATCAGGACAAACGGAGCAACAATCATGTGTTTTGTCTTGATTTCATGTTTTTTTCCTCTAAATTGATTGAATCTTCATGAGACGATTAACTTTTTATCTGAGTTATGTTCATAGATGCACACTACCCAATAACTACGACGAGTAATTGGAAACAGCATACCGGTACTAGAATACACTACTTTTTGTTCAACTTAATATCTATTCTTGTTGAAGACATTTACCAAATTGTACGTTATTTGGTTTACTTGAGATAGTTAAGCAAATAATATCTGAGTAAAATAGATCAGTCAGTCAGTCAGATGCAACGTAGAACTTCGTACGTAAGTGCATCAGTTCATATCGCCATACCACATCAGCACAGAGAAGTAATCGTCATTTCAAATCCAATAGTAAAAGAGGTAGTAAAGGTATTAAGAGTAATCGGAGAGGTTAGGATTAGAAGATATTATTCAAGAAGTATGATTCAGTGAGAAAAGTTTACAAAGTCAAAACTAGAGTTGTTAAAGAACCCAGAAGATTAGGATTTGAGATAACACAAAGCATAAATGCACTGGCGCCATTGCAAACGGTTTTGAGTCATGTCATTCAGGGTCTCTAACCATGGATTATTATCATCTCGCGGACCCCAACCAGGTAGTCGACAACTACCGACATGGCTAAGTCCACTCGTCAACGACTTCATGGATTTCTGCCATGTCTTGGATTGGCCGCCCCTATCTTTCTTCCAACCTATTCCTACACTACAATACAAAGCTCTTCGAGGCAGTCGGTGGTTAGGCATACGCAACACTTGTCCCAACCACCTCAACTGATGAAGTTTCATTACTTCATCTATTGATCTGCCATTCTTACCTAGCACACATTTCCTAATAACAGCGTTGCTCACTCGGGTATCCCAGGATATACGAGCAATGCTTCGAAGACACCTATGATCGAAAACCAGTAACCTACGAATATCTTCTACTCTTAACGGCCATGTTTCGCAGCCATGTAGTAGTACGGAGCGAACTACTGCTCAGTGCACCCGTCCCTTAGTCACCAAACGGATAACTCGCCTACGCCATAAGTGACGCAGGTTGGCAAAAGCCGATCGAGCCTTCTGTATCCTAGTTAATGATGCCTGTTGCCCTATTTGACACAATGTCCGTACATTAAATGCTCCAACATGTAGACTAGACTAGAGACCAGGAATGACGTTTCGTGAACTCGCATCGTTTGCATTAGCGGTGCAGTCAGATAAGGGAATGTGAGTAGAGTTAGTTGTGGAGAGAAGAGAGGTATGTGTGGGTGTAGGAAGGATTTGATTTCGACCAGATTGGTCTCTCGTGCTGTTACGGGTATGAGGGCGGTTGTCACTTCCTAGGTGCCCACTCCGTGGAAGGTTGTTTCTTGAGGAACCTGAAAAGGAAGATAGATTAGTGTTGGTCTTGGAGACATGGGAGCGTGACCGCAGAGCCCAAGGGACAACTGCTTGAGGCCGATCATGCACGGCCTTTTTATGAAAGGTATTTAGAGGATTAGCTCCGTTCTTAAAGGCCCTTAGTGGGCACCCTTACCGACGGATATGGAAATCCGTGAGGTAGGTTGAGGTGTGACATTTTTAGGGCCGACCTTTTCTAACCCTTCCTTCCTTGTGAGAAGGCAGCATCGCTGCAGATGCTGGTTGTCCGAGAGAAACACCTTACTGCTGTCACACCCCTCTGCAGTCAGCAGTACGACTTCGCCCTCAGACCTTGAGTAGCTGCTTTTAGTCTCATCGTTCTCCAATCGACCTGCCTGGCATGGTAGGACCTGCAGGAACATATGTTTCAGCCAGTATAGCTCGGTTGGGTCATCACGATAGGCAATCCCGACCACCACGTCAAAGTAGCAGCTACGGTCGGGGAGTACAGTAGATGCTGATATATTACCCTTAAACAATATTATTTTGTTCAGTGGCACTCATTTATTTACTAGGATTTAAAAAACACAAATCATTTTCTTTTTAATCCATCATATAATCAATCTTACATTGTTTAATCGAATTATATGAATCCAATTGCATTCTGGTTATCATCGTAGACAAAGTGAATTATAGTTTGTTTGATGCTGTTAAAGGCAATCCATGATACCTAGATGTAATGCTAAGTAGCGAGATGAATCATTGGCAGACACATGCAGTCATCGAGATATATATATATATATATATATATATATATATATATTCATTTCTTCTGTTAAGTATGATCATCTTAACTATTAACAGATTGAATATCTTGATCTGAAAAATGTGATTTATTATATTCCGCTACTATTTTCTTTCCTTTATTTACAGTTATCATATTGTTTATTTGAACTTTTCCAGGTCACTGTTTTCATTTTTCTATCAGAATTTGTAAAACGGACTAATTAACTTAAAATAACAATCTAAAAATAAGTAATTAAAATTGATCTCATTCTTAGTATTTTTATCCGAGATCCGTAAATACAAACAAACCGTGCATGAGGTCAAGGTGATCTTTCCTAATGTTTGTGGTGCACTTTAATGTAACTAAATCAATCACATGTTTCACAAACGAGAACTTTACACTATAAGATGTGAGGAGCCTGTACTTTAGGATTTTTAATATTCATAGTTTGATCACATTTCGCTGTTTCTTTATCGTATTGCCTCACTTATAACCGTGATGAGTCATCTGGGTAATTTCAGTCAATAGGTTTAGAGAATACCGTTAGATGTGATATCCAGACAAAGATAATAAATGATCACACCAGTGATTGGTGATTACTATGTGGTATAAATGACCTTTGAAATAAGTTCAGCCTTGCTTTGTAATTTCATTAGCGCGATCAAATTTGTTAGAAGGTTAAAATTGTGGTCGAATGAAAGAATTGAATCTATCATTTTGTGGAACTAACGCGTGTCAGAAAGTGTAGGCCACCTGAATGGAGTCGTAATAACTATTGCAGTCTGTGGTTGGAGACCTCAGATTATAATAAACTGAAAACTATTCACAGTGCGACTTGCAAAACTAACTTTTCCATCGTCAAACAGAAACACAACGCAAACTTGTGTTTGGTTTTACTCTTTGTATCACTGTTAGGATTATTAAAAAAATATATAAGTGGCCGAGAATGTCATGCTGAAAGTATTGAATCGGATAATTAACCAAATATTACTCATTGGTAACTTCCACTAAGATGATTTTTGTTTCAATGATACTTGAAATAGTTCGAATATTCCTTGCATACCAAATAACTGACCAACTAGTTGCTTCTTTATCGTGTCACTTAAAATCAAAAGTTCTGATACTATACATAGGTTGAAGATCATGTCTGTGAGCTGCCCTCCATACACGATTTTGCGATTCAGTTCGTGATGAGAGTTCTGTATGATGTTGACTATGTTCTCAAGTACACCGTAGTGTCGAAGAAGCCTGCATAGTAACATCCTGTCCATGATGTTAAATGCTTTTTCGTAGTCATAGAAGCTGATTTTTCAACAATGATCCATAATGTGGCGATTTGGTCGGTACACGATTGATGTTTACGAAATTCAATATGTTGCTCTTGAAGTTTGGCGTCTATGGGATCTTTCATTCTGTCCAACAACACTGCTGTACCCGTTTCCTGTTACTGATGGTAGTTCGATTCCTCTTTAGTTTTGATACTTACTAAGATCACCTTTCCTTGGTACTTTGATAAAGTATTCATGTTTCCAGTTTGTTGGTAGTTGTTGTTTCCTGTGTATAGTTGTCTGATATTTCGTTCTGTTGAAGCTTTTCGTGCTGTTATTGCTAGATCCTCATGATATTTCTGTTTATCAGCTGTAATGCTTCTGTTCAGTTGGTTGTTTGCTTCTACGTATTCATGCTGTCTGTGCCTTGACTTTCTGTGCTGTTGTTTGACTGTGATTGATTACTGTTTTCCGGTTCTTCGTTCCTTGAATCTTTTCCAGAGTTTTGACAGAGACCCATTCCTTGTGACATGCAGAAGCTATTGTTTCTTTGATCGTTTTCCAGTTGTTATCGATTGTAGTTTCCTGTTGTTTAAGTAGTCCGTGTAAGACTTTGGACCTATTGGTGCGAGCTATATTGAATTCATTGAGTTTGCTAGTATGCCGAAGATAGTGTATATTAAAATTTGTAATGCTGTTTGTCTGGATCTGTAATCTTCAAATATTTTCATAAATAAACGATTACATTCTGATATTGTTCTTTCATTTGAAATTAATGAAACATTTTATTATTTGCTAAATACTGACCAATTAATCATCCATATGTCACATAGTCAAACTGTTAGCAAATGGTGATCAACTCCAGTATAACGGCCAGTTTTTTAAATAGCTTGTTATCCTTAGACCTGTCAAGAGTTGTCTTCTGTTTGGCATTACTTTTCATTTTGTATCTCTTGTCCATGATAAATGCCTCTAATTTTTTAGCGTGCCTACATCTAAGCCACTTTCTGGGTTCTTCAAAATTATATACTGAACAGTTTATTATTTTTACTGTTACTTGAACAACACATTGAGAATGATAACGACCTATTTTGATATGAAAATTATCGTTATATACAATTCACTGTGTAACTCATCTTTTCCTTTACTACATCCTATACATAGGGAACATTTAACAAACGTGAATACAAACACTTAATACTTCCCATCCATTTTAAAATGTGAATTGTTAAATAATTGAATTTATGGCAGACATATCGTTTATCATGTTGTTCTAAAATAAAGATTATTATTATTATTATTATTATTTTTAGATATGAATACCGTGTAGAAATGGTTCATCAACTATCTCGCGATCCTAGTCGCAATATTGTCCGTGAATTCGCTTCTCATTTTGAAGTTGGCGAATGTTGGGGTTATAATCGTTTCTTCCGTTTGGATCTATTAGTTAATGAAGGCTATCTAAATAGTGAAACAGACTCAATAATACTTAAGTTTCAGGTAATCTGTTAGGTTTTTTCTTTTCGTATCACCTTGTTGTTTGCAATTGCTTAAATTACCATTCAGCTTATTTAAGGAAGATATCAGCCCATTAATAGACCTGTCAATAAACATCCTTGCATTACAAATATCGATCTACTTAAGTTGCTAAAATTCAATTCAGTACAACTAGATTGAAAATCAACAAGTTGAAGAACAAAGATATGGTATCTTTATATATGACTTTTTTTGGTTACATCTAACCTTTCTTGAATCTCCTTTGCTCCCTGGTATCATGGAATGTTGGTTTGACAAATGTACCACCTGTCCTGACAATCTGAAGTAATGTAGTCAGAGTCCTATCAGTTGATTTACTATCTCTACCTAATGTCGTACGCTTAACTTATTTGATTGGTTTATCCAGTGCATTGAAAACAAATACTGACAACATACCAATACCTTTTGCTTTCATAAATTGTTTCCCAGACATTTAGCAACACATATCAAATTGTAACAAAGTGTATTCGTCCTTTGATAAGTTAATGAACACCTCAGCCTTTTCACAGGTGATGTGTTGATCTTTGTTGTTAAACAGGGATGACTTGATGAGCAAAAAAAGATAGTATGTTGACGTAAAAAAAGTTATTATTCATACAATGAATTGAGTAGACTACTCAGTACATTTCTAATGAAGGAGATATTGAATCAAAATAATTTACCGTATTTGTAGTATTATCTTTAAAGGCATCTTACAAGAAATCAGTAATTTCAGTTCGGTAAATGAGTGAGTGAAATAAACTAGGAATTCTTTTTCGAATTATAGTAGGAAATAAGCACAGGATCAATGACGATGTGAAACTTACACGTGTTGTTGTAATCATTTTAAAATTGTGGATAATCATTTTGATGGATGCCACGTTAAAATTAGTTGTTTATTTTCAACTAATACGACCAAAATCGTTTGATAATCAAGCAACTTAAAAAATCAAATTAGTGTAACTATAGGCTGCTTCAGTCTGCGCAAACCTTTGTTTTTTTTTCAAACATACTTTAACAACCTATATACATATCCCCCGGCCGTATCTGCTACTTTAATGTGGCGGTCGGGCTTACTTATCGTGATGACCCATCCGAGCTATATTGGTTGGATAATATATTCCTGTAGATCCTACCATGCCAGACAGGTCGACTGGAGTATGGAAATACTAAAAGCAGCAACGCAAGGTCTAGAAACGAAGTCCTGCCACTGACTATAGAGGTGTGTTATATCAGTAAGCTGTTTCCCTCGGACAACCAGCATCTGCAGCGATGCTGCCTTCTCACAAGAAAGGAAGGGTTAGAAAAGGTCGGCCCTAAAAATGTCACACCTCACGTTACCCCACGAATTTCTGTCTCTGGCGGCTAGGCCTTTTGAAGAACTGAGTTGACGCGTTGAAAACTTCCCGTAAAAACGCCGTGTGCGATAAGCCTCCAGCAGTCACGCTTCCAGATCGCTAAGATCAACACAAATTCAGTTTCCTTTTCAGGTTCCTCAAGAAATAATTAGAACTCTACAGTTGTAGCTGTTCGATCCAAGAGTTCCTTGAAGTGCTCTATCCACCTGTTTCGCTGTTCTTCAGTGTGCTAGATTTTCCACATATTTGTGTTTTTCAGCTCTGATGCTCCTCTCTACTTGCCTGTTTGCTTCTCTGTATTCAGCATGTGCCTTCTCCTTTTCTGCTCTTGTTCGTCTGACTTTGATTGCAACCTTCTTGAATCTTATCCAAGGTAGCAATAGAGATCCATTCCTTGTGATAGTAGTTGTTGTGGCCCAGAACCTCGTGACTTGTTGAAGTGATTGCCTCCTTGATCCCTTTCCGATTGTTCTCCATGGTAGTTAGTTTCCTTTCCAGTATGATGTTATCTGCCTCGATTTCCAATGCTTCTTGAGATTCAGTTTTATTTTGGCGACCAGCGAGTGGTGGTCTGAGGCTATATCAGCTCCTCTCTTGGTTCTCACGTTCTCCATCGTCCTTCTGAACGTTTTATTGATGCAGATATGGTGGATGTGGTTATGAGTAGTGTGATCCGGTGAAATCCATGTAGCTTTGTGTACGCGTTTGTGTGGAAATATTGTGCCATCAATGACCAGTTTGTTGAAGGCACACCGGTTTGCAAATCACTCACTCACCGTTTCCATTCTACCATCGCAGTCCATGTCGTTCCATGATGTCTTCATATCTAGTGTTATCGATGCCACCCTTTTCATGTGCGTCTCCCATCAGAATGGTCAAATCCTTTAATGACCATCACTCGACGGTTGACTGAAGCCTCTCGTAGGATTGATCTTTAGCGTCTTCATTGTGATCGTTGCTAGGCGCGTAGCATTGAATGACGTTCATTGTTATATCCTCTGCCTTTGTTCCGAAGGATGCTTTGATGATCCGGAGTCCATGAAATTCTCATCCTATACGTGAATTTTGTGCTTGTATGGACAGCATCAGTGCAACTTCTTGTGTGTCTGAGACATTTTCTTCATGACCAGAGTATAATAGCACCTCTCGTCGAGCTAGTCTTAGTTGTCCAACCTGCGTCCAATGAGTTTCACTGACTCCAAGCTCCTCCGACCTGAAAGAATGATAGCTCTGTTTGTCAGAAGGTGCATTGGCGTCGTGACATCCGAAGGAACTCGTCTTTCATCATGAGACGTCATAACTCTTCTGAAAGAAGACCTTCTAACTGCCATGGCAGAGTCGAAATGGTTTGAATTGAGTTTTCTGTTTAGCGATTTTTAGCGAGTTGGTTTTCTACGGAATGGATTGTTCATCTCAAAGCCCAAACCTCCTTCATCCCTGGGTAATGATAAGTTTTTCTAATCCTTTATAGTGACTGAATGCAGTTGATCAATTGCAAGGTAGCCACTAGTCTGAGTGACTAAACATCGCCTGTAGTTTGTTAAAATGTTAGGTAGTTTTATTGAGCTCTTAGGGAATTCATAGTGATTGTTCAATTTAAAGTGGGGAAACTAAACTGTGCAACTGTTTTGTGATTTCTCATTAGAAGTCGAACATTTTGTTGGTAGTTTCATATAATTTAGTTTTCCACACTTCTATACTTATTTATCTTTCATACATAGACTTCACTAAAGTAATTGCCTGAAGTTATCGTTCATTTTTATTGCTGCTAAGAATTTTTAATAATCTTTTTTTTTCTCCTTGAAAACACTAGGTAAGAGCACCAACTTACTTTCAAAAATGTCGGGATCAAAATTGGCACATTTCACAGCTTGAAGCCAATCAAGGTCATTGTTTTACACAGTTAGCTGAATTGAAAGAACGTTTATCCTCTGAAGTAGCTAAACAAACAAATATTGTTGCTGTTGCTACTACTACTACTACTGCCACTACCTCTCCCAATGCTGCTACTTTTAATCCTACAATTGTTACTACAATCAGTAGTACTTCTGTTACTTGTCCACAGTCAACAGATTCATTTGAACCTTCAACTAGTCGGTTGGATCCCACTTCCTCGTCAACTAGCCAGTCAGAATTGATCATGACAACCTCTCTACTTCAGCTACAACCATCATTACCATTACCAGGACAATTTGTTAATGAATTAATTAATAGTTCAATCAATGAGTCAAATGTGAATGTCACATCTCTTCCAGAAATAAAAGATGAAGATTGTGCAAATATAGACGGAAATGATTGCTCATCTCAGTCTTGTCTATTAGGCAATACGAATAACACTTCTACTAGGAATCATTTAGCAAATAGTGAAAATCGTACACAGTCACTGCGTAATGTCAGTGCTAATAATAATAATAATAACAGTAATGGTAATAATAATGATATAATTAATGACGAGGTCGATAATTGCTTGATGACAGTTAATATGTCGAATTCAAGCACTACGGATTTCGGCAATGAATACGATCAACAGGTAAGTTGTCTATGATATATGTATGATACGTCTAGCAATAATAGTAATAACAATAATCATGATAATGGTAAAGAAAGGTTTAAGCTTATTCCATACAGTATCTCACAAAGTGGGTCAATTTAATTGCAAACTTTGTTTGAAGGAATTAGATAAGTTTAAAAATGTTTTTATGCTAAACAGAACAAATCTATGTAGGAGGTTGGTTAATATGGAGGATCAGGTTTTGTTACGGAGTTCTAGTTGCACAAACTCTTTGTTTACCTTTAGTTCCTGAGTTTCAAAATTATTTTTTACGTTTTATTCCATAAATCCATTTTTATAGAATCATATTCTAGGCCTAATGTTTTTTATCACTACTACTTCCACTAGCTTAGTCCCGTATAAACTATACAAGTTTGTGCACGTTGGAAACCAGGAATTTTTAAGCATATCTCAGTCACATTTTTTCCTCTACCAAGTACTTCACACTAGCCAAAATGCTTCGAATTAAGTTAGTGAGTTTGTTATATGACACTGTGTCTTCTTTCAATTTACTTGTTGGCCAGGTAAAACTGTGTGTTAAGGTAAGTGGTTGGTCGAGATACTTCAAACATCCTGTTCACCAGAGTCAGTCTTATCAACTGATTCACCAATTTTGTTCCAGAGTCTAACGTGATCATTAACACATGACTGCGATATTTTACTGGAGCAATGATTCAAATACAAATCTTTCAAATGTAATGGTAAATTGGACTAGCTTAACCATCATATAAAGTATTTTCAAAATCTGTATTTTTTTTCTCATGATAAATGTATGCTTTTTTTGTTTCCATCTTATGCATTTTTCCTATTAATTGCATTTTAGCTCAATGAATTACAAGCGAATTCAATTGCCCAATTATCGATTGACATCTCAGAGCCATTATTAAATTTAATTTTGACCGCAAATCAGCAACAACCTGTAATTAACTCATCAATTTTATCAAGTTTAGATATGAGTCAATTAACTGCTTCATATAGTAATGATAATAATAATAATAACGATGTCAACAGTGACGAAGATTGCTTGTTTATTGATTCAAGTAGATATTTTAATACCAGTGAACAATTAGTACCCCGTGAAGATGTTGATGTAGAATCTACACATTTCAGTGAACCAATCTCTTGCGGTGGCGATGACGATGGAGAATATGATGATGGCAACTGCGAAAATAACAACAACGACAACCACAATAACGATGACGGTGATGTTGACGACGACGACGAAGAAGAAGAAGACGAAGAAGGAATAGATGATGGCGATGAAGATGAAATGGATCGAGATGATGATGACGATGGTATCGACGACGATGAGGAGGAGCAAACGAATAATGATGAAGATAATGAAGATGATAGGCGAACAAATTCCAGGTCGAAACTTTACATCTATGCAAAGTCGAATAATGATATGGATAATAGTTTGAGTGATGATGACGATGTTGAACAGATTAGGCAAAATAAACCTGATTATGATATGCTATCAAAAACATCAGAAATTCATTCAGATAATGATAGCCTGCAATCAAGTATCGATTCAAATAAATTATTATTATTGAAAAGCAAGTTTATTAATAAACCAACAAATTCATTAAATATTTTAAATTCAATTAAAGCATTGACAAATCTAAAGTCAACTATTGCTGCAGCCATAACAACTACTGTTAATACTGACGATAGTATTTTACCAATGCTAGAATATGAATGTAATCATATCACTGATGTTGGTAGTGACATGAACTCAAGTTATGATGATAATGAATATCATATTAGGAATAGAAATACAACTGAAGAACTTTTAGAATTGCCCGATCCACGACCTGCTAATGGTGCTATTGATAATAACAATAATAATACTAATAATGATAATGATAATAAACGAACAGTAAACCAAACCGCATGTCATCCACTATGGTTTAAATTATTTACAAATGATAAATCGAAATTACAGCTCAATAAGATGTCAACAAGTAGATCCAATCATGACCATAAATTAAAATTGTTACAATGTAACTCCAAAGAGCAAAATCTATTGCCTATTATTCAAACACAGATGATGGACAGCGCGCATAATAGTAATTGTAATAACATTAGTAACGGACTTGATCCGAATTCGTCTCCTAGATCAATTATTGATGAAAAGGTGAATGAATGTCATTCCTCTTCAAATTTTCAGTCGAGATTAGTTAGTGAATCAAATTGGGAAAGGAAAATAACCAAAGATCCTAATGTTTGCAGGTACTTTATTTCATTCTGTACTCAATTATGTGTATATCAATCAGTTCTAAACAATTTAAGTCTTGAAATAGAAGGGCATATCGTCTCTGTTTTTATCCAATTCACTATCGGTATATCAACGTAAGAAGTTCACATGAAGAACTATTAAAAATTATTTCAATCGTATTTGTAAAACGACAAGCTTTTACTAAAAATCTGACAACATACAAAGGAAAGCTCGCAGTTGAATTGAAGTTAGAATTTGTCAATTGTCATTTCTTCAACGGTAGGGTGGCGTTTCTTCAAAAATATCATAATTTGTTTCATCACTTGATGTAGAGGAACAACTTTTTATCGTTGCTTCCAAATATCTGGTAAAAACACAGTGTACTGTGATATCTAGTTACTCAAGTCAAATGAATACAGTCTATCATGTCATTGTGTTCTTAACAGCAGGTAATCACAAGTTGATAACAAGTTTCGTCACTAACTGACAACTGTTAGTAAGTTATTTAAAGCAGTAAATAGTGTGCAACTGTTTAGCGTTAGTTTAAGACCCATTAGCAATGCTTATTCATGATCATAGTTAATGCTGGACTCAGATCTGTCAATTGTTGCGAATCACACAAAATATCTTTAGACTACGGGAACATATAAGCGAACAATATTGTTCGCTTGATGATGACGTTGCCTATTCGATGTATTTTTTGTACGATAGTTCGGAAATTTTATGTATCACATTGATGACAATCCGTGAATCGTTTCAGGGTTTTTTTTATAGAATTCGTTTATAAACGAAGTTATTATTCGAGTCCACCTTAAATTTCAATGATTTACTGATCATTTCTTCATAACAAAAGGAAACGTAATACATTATGGACATACATGGATGATTAAATATACTTTCCTCAATCGTCTGTTAATCTCATAGACCATATTTTCATATTCTCATTTAAAAGCCTGTTTGATGAAGTGACATTATACCCCTCTTCTTGCTGTAAATTAATTCAACATCTCAACTACGCAGTATAGACTTCAATGTGAAATTTAGGCTAACAGAGTAGGTGGGAAGAAAAAACTATCAATAGTTAGTGATGTTGTGATTAACGATTAATTCTAATAAACATGCCTTAATTTTATACGCTTATGACGACCTGCATCTAATGATATTGGTTAATAATGGTACAGTCGTCGATATAATTCGATTCACAGAGAAATCATTTTCTGATCGACATGTCTCGATTACTTGTTATAAAAAAAACACTCTTCTTGTTAGAAGAAATTTCTTAGAATGTTATTCTTGACTTTTTATTTCCAGTGATACTACTTTAATTCAGCCTAAATTATTTACTTCATCATCGTCATCTTTATCATCTTCCAATTCATCATCATATGGCAAAACAATATCGGAAAGTTATTTGTTGAAAAATAAAAAGTTTAAAAGTTTATCCAATCATCGTCTATCTGATTTCAATCATCATCGTCATCATGAATATTTTCCACAATCTCAATGTAGTAAATTAAAACATTTACCATATCATAAAGACAATATAGGATCATTGTCATTAGTAACAACTGACCCAGTTCCATCATGCAGTAATCATACATCAGCTTATGCAACTTCTACACGTGAACAATCGCATCAGCTAACTGGAAATGATCTACGTAAAGAACTCCTAACTAATAAACCTGTGTCAACTAATTTTAATCAAACTGAGAGTGGTAATCGTTTGAGAAAAAATAACAACAATGCTAGTTCATCATTTTCATCGTCTATAACAACAATGAAATGTCCTAATCCTTTAAAGTCGAATAACATATACGTCCGCTCGTCAATCAATAATGGTCCAACTAATCCGATAAGGACGACGACAACAACAACTCTATCAGGGCAGATTATAAAAAATCCAATTCAGCATTTAGAAAATGATATTGATGAAGAGACAATGACAGGTTGGTCTATTGATGATTGTTTACACTGATTTTATTTATTATTGATAACGCTTCATTCTTTCGCTATTAACTTGTATTACAGTATACTGATACATCCACTCACACACTTCAATATAGAAAGGAGACTTATTTACTCCTGTTACCCCTAATAGAGCATAGGCAGCCCATCAAAACTCCGACCACCCATATCATGCGCTCTCCTTTCCAGTAAAGTGCTATTCATTGTTTTCATGTTTGTCTCCAACTCTCGGCACAATGAGTTGTTTGGTCTGCCTTTTTTCCTCTGGCCTTGAGGATTCCTGATTAGGGTTTGCCACATGACACGGGTGGTTTCCGCAATGTGTGTCGTATCCATCTGCAGCGCTTTTCCGAGATTCTTCCTCAGCTGGAAGTTCGTTTGCTCTCTGCCATAGTATGTAGTTGCTGATGGTATCTGGTCAACGGCTCTTTCTTTTGTTCGTAGACAACGCCCATATCTTTTTGACGATGGCTTTGGTAGTTCTCCAAGTTTCCGCTGCTTACAGTAGAACGGTTTTGACATTCGTATTGAAAATTGTCTTTGGTGTTGGCTGACAGATAGTTTTTTAAGTTGCCGATGTTTCTCAATTGTAGAAATGCTGCCCTTGTCTTCACATCTGCATCAGACCCACCTTATTTATCAACGATACTGACCAGATATGTAAATGTTTCCACATCTTCTGGAGCCTCTTCGTTAGGTGTGATTTAGTTATTACTTGTAGTGTAGTATCTAAGGGTCTTGCTTTTCCGCTTATGTATGTCGAGACCTACATCTGCAGAGACTGCCACTACACCGGCAGTCTTCATTCACGTTTATCGCTTTTTGTGGGCTAGACAATCTACGAACTCTGGACCATCTCACTGCATCCGAGCTGTCCACTGTATTTCGTGGTTCTCCTGAGATGTTGAGGTCTTCATAATCCAGTCAACCATCAGGAGAATGAGAAAAAGTGACAGTAAGCAGTCTTGTCCTACACCGGCCTGCACTCGGAATGAGTCTGTGAGCTGCCCTCTATACACGATTTTGCGATTCAGTTCGCGATGAAAGTTCTGTATGATGTTGACTATGTTCTCAAGTACACCGTAGTGTCGAAGAAACCTGCATAGTAACATCCTGTCCATGATGTTAAATGCTATTTCGTAGTCATAGAAGCTGATTGTTCGACAATGATCCATAGTGTGGCGATTTGGTCGGTACACGATTGATGTTTACGAAATTCAATATGTTTGAAGTTTGGTGTCTATGGGATCTTTCATTCTGTCCAACAACACTGCTGTACCCGTTTCCTGTTACTGATGGTAGTTCGATTCCTCTTTAGTTTTGATACTTACTAAGATCACCTTTCCTTGGTACTTTGATAAAGTATTCATGTTTCCAGTCTGTTGGTAGTTGTTGTTTCCTGTGTATAGTTGTCTGATATTTCGTTCTGTTGAAGCTTTTCGTGCTGTTATTGCTAGATCCTCATGATATTTCTGTTTATCAGCTGTAATGCTTCTGTTCAGTTGGTTGTTTGCTTCTACGTATTCATGCTGTCTGTGCCTTGACTTTCTGTGCTGTTGTTTGACTGTGATTGATTACTGTTTTCCGGTTCTTCGTTCCTTAAATCTTATCCAGAGTTTTGACAGAGACCCATTCCTTGTGACATGCAGAAGCTATTGTTTCTTTGATCGTTTTCCAGTTGTTATCGATTGTAGTTTCCTGTTGTTTAAGTAGTCCGTGTGAGACTTGGGACCTATTTGGTGCGAGCTATATTGAATTCATTGAGTTTGCTAGTATGCCGAAGATAGTGTGTATTAAAATTTGTAATGCTGTTTGTCTGATTGTCCAGTGCTTCTTTGACTTCAGTTTCATCGTGGCCATCATGAAGTTAGCACCAGGTGATCTGAAGCTAATATTAGCTCCTCTCTTTGCCCTCACATGCTCCAAGGTTGTGGTGAACTTGTTATTGGTGCAGATATGATAGATTTGGTTGTGTGTGGTGCGATCATTTGGACCCCATGTAGTTTTGTGTGTGTTTGTGTGGGATTATGGTGCCTCCTATTTTCATTTTGTTGAAGACACATGGATTTGCGAATCTCTCACCGTCTTGGTTCCTTTTTCCCATTGGATGTCTTCCTACGACATCCCGAAAGCCGATGTTGTGCATTCTAATGTGTTGTTTGGCATTTCCGGACGACTGACTGCATTCTCTGATAAAATTGATCTTTATCGTCCTCATTGTCATCGTTAGTGAGCGCATATCACTGGGTGAAATGCATAGTAATCCCGCCGTTCTATGTCTTGAAGGATGCTTTGATGATCGTGGATGTATGAGGTTTCGATTCTGAGCATGGTTTCTTAGCTTCTTTGGACACCATCAGTTCAACTGCTTGTGTATGTGTGAGGTATCTTCTTTTTCATGTCTGAAGTGCAGAGACATCTCTCCTGAATCTACTCTTTTCTGTCTAGCATATATCCGATGAGTTTCACTTATTTCAAGCACTTCCGAGTTGTATCATTTCCTTTCCACAGCAACCTGAATGGTTCTTCCGGTTTTTCATACTATGTTAATCTATGTTAGTTGCTATTCTGACTCTTGTCCTCGTAATTTTCAAATAAACTTGGTTTTAATCTTGGAGCTTGATAACCTGTAAATATAAGCCTTAGAACATGCAGGGCAGATTTTAAATGGTTAGAATTGTTTCTTCTGGTTAGTATTTGTTAGCGAGTTTTTTTCTACGGGGCTGGGTTGGTAACGCCATGTCTACTTTCACTCTTTATCCATACGTGGGAATGGCAGTAATTCCAGTTATGCTGTAGGCGTTGTTACCTACCTGCATATTTTATACATTCAAGCAGCATTTAAGTATAGCAGAAGCGTTGTCTCTGAACTCAAAAGAAAATAGTAATATTAGTTTTTGTATTAGTGCCCCTTTCTAAACTAAGCACCACTTTAATTATTTATACTCTGATTTTTCCTTGTCTTAGCGTTACTATTTCCTCGATCCTTCGGTCGAACGCATCATTTCAAGTTGGCATATCCCATTTTCACAGAGAAATGACTTTGCTGGAGCGAGTCATAAAGTAATTGAAGTAGTAATAGTATTGATGACCATTTAAAAGATCAGTCTTGCTTCTCGTCCGACTGTAGAACACCGATAGCTGTGTCCAAACTTCAGTGCTGGTCTTTATAGGACCGCCTTAACGTTTCCTGCCGTTGTAACACTTCTGACTGGTTTTTTTAAATTTGCTCCTGTCTCATCTATTTTTATGTGAAATATCGCCTCGCAACTCAGCAGTCAGTTCCGATGATATTAACGGGTCATCCCACTGAGCCGCTAAGTCTTTAACTTTGATGAGGAGATCCACTTCTTGACATATACAGAAAAACTTACGTATGTCTCTATTTTGATTGTGAACTCTCCCATACTTCAACAGAGAACGTTTCAAATCCATTTTCAAACCTACTTGGTTTTTACAAATTTTTGCAGTTATCCTTTCAGCGTCAGAATTGTCCTTATCGAAATTCTTACAAAGTAAAGCTTTTAGTTCTCTATCGCTTTCGATACTACAACTTGTTGTTCATAGGTTGGTCCCATTTCCACACATAATCCCCCCGTCTAGCAGTACTAGTTAGTCCCGCAACTCTCATAAACGTCTTTGCCTGTTTACTTTTATTTCTGTCCATCTTCATTCCTCGTTAGGAATAGTTCGGTCCAACGACTCCTGCCTACTCAACCGTGCTAACGGGACAGAACTAGTTTCGATATTTTTACATGATGGACAGTTCTAATGTCCCATAACTGACCGATGAAACAAACAATCGCCATTTTTTGTTGGCATCTGGTTTGATGGATACAAAATCCATATCTTGTAATCACTGTATATCTCATTGTTTGTCTTCAGGGGATTTTTAAAGTCCTGGAGCCATTGCAGCGCCTTCTCATCTGTACACAACGTGAAATTTCAAATTAGGTATGGTTTGTATCCCCCTATAAATATTACCACAGCTAAAATTATTCTCGATCGTCTCATAGTCTGGCTTCTCACTTTCGATTATGTGTTCCTTAGCACCGAATCCAATCTGAGATAAGACCACTACCAATCGCTGTATTACTAATGTTTCTGTCTAGAATTCGTTTGCCAGAGTTGGGTGGTGGCAGGTAGTGGTAGTATAGCAGCTGAACAAAGCTTGCCTTTTAGACGATTGAAAGCGTCTTGACGAACTTCAGACTAAGTAAATGAGGCAGTTTTTTTCTGTCACACAGGTTAGTGGGTTCGGTCTATTCAAAAACGTGTGTAGACAAACTGGTATATACGTGACTTATTGAGTATTTTCTCATGAACCTATGTCTTTGGCAACAAGACAGTTTTTGTGTAAAACTTGACTAAACCACCGAATCCTTTGTATCATAGTGATACCTATCAAATAAGAATTAGTTTTTCACAGTTGTTTAAACTTTCGAATTTCCTTCAGCAAATTTGACACATCCATTTTCCGAAGTTCAGATAATCAGTTGTTGATAATGTCGGTAAAAAAAGGTGAGAAGAGTTTCAAATATTCCTCTAAACCATACGAGTATCTGAATATCACTGTTTCCTGGATCTCAATTTTGATAGACAATTAAACAAGTATTAGGTTCGTTTTTATTTACTGGGTTAAATTGAGTTAATCAAGCTAAATAATACATACATTTATCATAAACAGATCGATTGACTTATCGTTTTCACTATCCTTATCAGAGTATATTTGCAAATATTTGTGTGGTCTTTTGGGAACAACTTTTTATTTGAAAACAAATAAGATTTATTACAAGTATTGAATGGTATTTCATGTCAGACTCACTAAAATAACTATGTTTTGAATCAGACATAAGTTTAATAAATCCATTTTACTGTGAAACGCTACTTAACATTGCAACAAATGAAGTATTTCAACATCTAAAATGCACATATTTAAATTTAATTTAGAAATGAATGCAACTCACGTAATATTGCCACACATTTTTCCCATGGAAATTATTGTTATCCGAAGTTCTAACAAGGTTTGAACTTCTGGTTTGGTGACTGCAAGTTGAATACTATATAGCTATTAAACGTTTGCTTTAATAGTTTTCTTAGAACAAGGTTTATGTATTCACATAACTGGTAAGAAAGAATTTTATAAATGAAGATCCATTTACCTTTAGATCTTAGCTTCTTGTGACTTGACTCCCTTTGCATTCTAGTCATTATTCTTACAATAACATTAACGGGTGTTTATTACGTTAACAGTTCAAAGTTATCTTTTAAGAAAATGAACTGATATTATCATGTTAAAGCAGAATTTGGCACTTCATTAGCGAGTGCCGTTTGAATGATAAACATTTGAAAGTACAATCTTAAGTTAGAATTGAGCCTCTAGCTAATAGATTTAAATAAATTTATCGCCTTTACAACTATCTGATATATAGCTTGGTTAATAATAATACAAAGGTAAGTAGTATATCAACCATTATCGTTTCTTCATTTCATGAAACTAAACGGTGATACACGATTATTCTGAAATAAACATCTTATATGCCGTGATAATTTGTTCCCGTTTTATATAGTATGTCTCTGAAGCATGCTTTTTTTATTTATCTAGGAGATCGTGATATCAATGAACATGTATTAAGTAATCGACGTTTATGGGAAGATTCCAATCCTAAGACTGATAATCATAATCATAACGATAAAAGTAATCACAACGATGAAAAGAAATATTTTAGTTCGTCGTCATCATCATCGTCATTTGCATTAGTCAATAACCATGAAAATGGGATATTTGTTAATCAACCGAAACCTTTATGCAATTCACCACGTACTACTACAACAAAATCCAAATCTACAACTAGAATAATGAATAGAATCCATCAAAATAATAAAAAATGTCATTCATTGACTAGTGATGGCGATTCAACGCCAGGTAAATCGACGTTATCAGATGAGACCAATCCTCGTGATGTGTGCAATAAACTTCATTTTCAAACTAAACACATTCATGATAATTCAGAATGTGATCACTTGAATTATGAACCCATGTATAATTATAAACCAAGTTTGTGTCATACATCACTGGAACATCAAAATGAAGCCATAAATTCACTATTAAAGTAAGTTCACTGTTTGTTTGTCTTTTCTTTCCCTCTCAATGCTTTTCTATTCACCAGTGTTATAGTATTTACTATAAATAAATTCGAGTCACTGTAACAGAACACACAAACACGTCTAAGCTTCATCGATCGCTCCTGTTACTCACCCGTAACGTGAACCGCTGTTAATGGTGTTGTATTTTTGGTTAAGTTACAACCAAAGGATCTATAGTATCTTGCATAGACAACTATGTATAAAAACATGTACTTATTCGCCAATACTGGGACTGGTTGGAAAGAGTAGATTGGTGGTCATTATATGACACAATGTCGTCGTGGTATGAAAGAAAGCTGTACAGAATTGGCGTTAACGGGCTCTTCACTACCCGCTGTTTAGAGTCCTGGTGATGGAGGGAGTCGTTGGTTTGAGACGTTGTAGTACATGTCTCAGGATGGAAGCCAGTGGCAGTCCCGTTGTATTTTTTAATTTTTTCGTATATGTGAGATGAACGTCTTTCGCTGAAAGAATTTTTTCTGGTTGTATTTTCGTAACTGCTTCTCCCACTATTTTTCTTACCTTCATTCGCTAATTTTTCGTTTTCGTTCTTTTGTTTACCACGCTCACTTTCTTTTCTAACTCTTCACAATCTCATTTTCTTATTGTGTGGCTGATAAATACTTCGATGCCTTAATGCGCCAATATCTATCTATTAAAATAAATACAAGCGTTACTTCAGTTCGACTAATATTTATGATTGGCATCCAGTGGTGGCGCATGTTTCTAACTGTAATCATTTCACATCCTGCGACCATATTGTAATGCCACTGGTGGTTCTGCTTCACTACTGACATGTTTGAATTCAACTAGTCACGTTTTCTCGTTAGAATTTCAAGAATTACCTCTCAAAATTAAGATCTAGGACTTATCATTATATAAATTTATTGTTAGTGCAATAAGTATTCAGAACTGGTGAATACAGTGTATGCTAAACATATAAATTGTGAGATTCGATTCGAATGTACACTGATGAAAGTTGCCTCATTCACAATGAACAAATGTGACAGGTTAAAAATCGAAACACTCGAAATAATATAGTATGGGTGATTCCGATTGAATGACATGTCGCTCAGGGTTTCTAACGGATACCGTTATATCATATAATCGTACCAGAAAATATATATCTTAAATGTTTCTATCCAATTGAACTAGTTTATTTTCAACAACTTTAACCATTGACGTTTAAATGTTTGAATTGTGAAATTTACTGATTTATGTATACATTTGCTGTTCATCATTCTTACTGTTGATTTCATTTAATTTGACCAGTTCACGATTATCTGATATATTTGTCTGTTTCCTCAATCACTTCTTTTTGTTGGAAAAATAGGCCAAATTTGGAAACTATGAGCTCCGGTGAAGTTGTACCAAGTAATTCAGGTGTCAATTCTCTTCCATCTCATTCAATTGGTCTTCCAGGTATATAATGTTGTGGGTTACGCACTTTCTTTCTATACAATGTTTATTTACTAATTTAAGTACTCTATCTAAGTGGTGGTTTTGTTTCGCATTACTGATAACAAAGTGTGAAGGTATTAAAATGAAATGAATGCAATATTGATGGATTGATGAACTCATTGATCCAATGTAGCTTATTTGGTGCTTAGATTGGATTACTAACTCAAGTCTCTGAATGAATTGACATCAAGGATAAGACTATTAACCAGGAGAATGGGTTTTTTTGGCCTGATGAAATAATATACGTAAATTTGAAGGACAAAACACATATCTCTTACTGTCTATAGTCAGTTTACAATACAACAGCATGATTCAATCGTATGATTATCCATTTCACTAAGTTGATGATGATCACCAACTTAATGTAATTGATCAATTTAAAAGTGATGATAGGTTCTCTTTTCTTTTCTCTTCCAATCACCCTTGTGGAAAATATCTATTGTTTTTCAATTGACTCATGTTGAGTTCTAATAAAACCACTTGTTTTTTTTCCTTACAAAAGTTCCGTATTTTAGTGTAAATTAGTCATCATCATGAAAGTGTTTTCTTAGTAGGAAGCGGTAAAACTGCATTAGTTTGGGCGTTTGTAAGTGTAATAAAAATTCAGTTACTGAAAGGCATACTAACAATAGAATTTTTCTTGCCAATTGATTCATATATTTTATAATGAAACAGTAGTGAGTTATATATATATGTATACCGTAAGTTGATCGAAATATCAATAATAATGAAGTCAATCATAATCAACTTAAACCTTGAAACAAATATGAATTTGCCCAAATTGTCCTAGTGCATCATCACAACAAAACGGAATTATTAGCAAATTAGTTGAGATGATCTTAGCAACAATGAAAAGTGACAAATATTAGATGTTAAAAAGACGGTTCATATAAGGCAAAGTAAGCAGGTATTTATGATTGATTTCACACACATCGTTTCCGGCAAGTGTTCGTGATTATCGCATGAACTTCGACCGGATAGTTTGCATCTACCGATATGGTTTTGGTTAACAACAGTACTCCTTACTTTCATATTGTATTTAACTCATAATGGAAATTATCCTCATATTATAGTCTCCGTAAAATCATATGTGTAAGTAATAATCATAATTTTTTTCACTTTCGAATGTATTCCTCGTAGTCAACCAAGTAAAATGTCAACTAGCTCTTTATTGATAAAGTAACAAGAGATTACGCTGTTTTGACTAGATTATAATTTCGAATGTGAATAGGGCTCCCTATCTTAATCGTAGAATACTCAGTTAGACCTTTTAAATACTTGTCATTGTGGAAGTAGAATAGATCTATAGATTGGTTTTTTTTGGTTTGAAGGTGAAGCAATAAATTTCTACTACCCTGTACCCAGTCAGGTCAATAACTTTATGTTTCTGGACGAACGCTATACCTTTAAGATAATTCTTTTAAAAAGTTGGGGTTAGTGATATTCATAAATGCCTTTTTTGAAAGATAGGTTTAATCGATTATTGTCGCAGTCTATCAGACAGTGACTGAAGTGGACCATTTGACTGCAACCCACTGACCTTAGGGTGTTGTTTTTGCTGCAATACTGGTGGGTCCTGAATCCAGTACCCAGTTTATTTCTGGATCCATCACCTCAAAATTTTCAGTGGTTTTCTAGCTGTGATCTTTCTGTGACATTAACCACCTCAAAACTGAACTGAATTTTACAATCAACCAATTCATCCCTTTAATTATAACCATATTTACTCACATATATTCGAGTTTTTATAATAAGTTATTTTTATTGCTAGTGCACAACAAAGAATCAAATATTTTAACCAGTGATTATCTAAATGAAACCCAACAATTGATAACAGAACCAACAGATTTAAGTTTGGCCATGCTGTGTCATAGAATCAGTCGATTACAGACTGAAGCAGAAGCTGTGGTTAAAGCAATCTCAGCTAATAGTCACTGTAACAGTGATTCTATCAAAAATAAACAATCCATGGATAATTTACCGATTGTCAATAAACAGTATGCCAGTTCAGTAAATGAAGAACAATCGTTCCAAACTGATTCAAACAGTAATACAGTAGATGGAATACAGATTCATCAATCATCGAGGAAATCTGATGAATGTTTCAGTAAAGCTATCAATAAGGCTGGACAGTCAAGTCAAATAAACGGTGTTGATAACAATAATAATCTTTATGATCAAGGTGATGTTTAAAACAATCGTATAAGAGTACTGCTTAAGTGAGTTATTGTCGCGATTTATCACCTACATTTGTTTCGATAATTACATCTCGCTACTTGAACCTTCCGGTTCCGAACCAATATTTTAAAGATAATACTCTTGGTCTCAGGTTCGACTTCAGCTGTGGTGTCCTAGGTACATGCTCATGAAGAGTCCCAGAACAAGGCAAAATGGAAGTCTATTGCTTCTTTGTTTCATACAGCTCCCCTGACCGTAGCTGCTACCTTGACGTGGTGGTCGGGCTTGCCTATCCTGAAGACCCAAACAAGCTATATTGGCTGGAAAATATGTTCCTGTAGGTTCTACCATGCCAGGCAGGTCGATCGGAGAACGATGACACTGAGGGCAGCTACTCAGGGCGAAGTCGTACTGCTGACTGTAGAAGGGCGTGACAGCAGTAAGGTGTTTCCCTCGGATAATCAGAATCTGCAGCGATGCTGCCTTCTCACAAGGAAGGAAGAGGTTAGAAAAGGCCGATCCTAAAAATGTCCCCTCACCTTACCTCACGGATTTCCATCTTCGACGCTAAGGGATTCTGAACAACAGCGGAGCTAATAATACTTTAAAAAACTCATAAAAAGGCCATACGTGACCGGCTTCAAGCAGTTGTCCCTTGGGCTCTGCAGCCACACTCTCAGGTCGCTCGGACCACCGCTAATACAGCTTCTTTTACAGGTTACTCAATAAACATTATTCTACAGTGTGGGCAGCCTGAAAGTGGCATCCGTCCTTATAATCGTAAAAGCACACGAGACCGAATTGGTCACAATCAAATCCCTTTCTACAGCTCCCAGTTATGATCAGTTCATAACGAAATCTAACGTTAACGATTTGCATTATGAACTGATAAATTGAAAATCAGGATATAGAACCCTGATATAGCAATTCATTTGAATTTTTTGATGTTATTTTATTTCACCAATATGCCTCGTTTTTCTCAAACGAAGAAAAATCCAATACACAGGTTTGTCTCACTGGCCACAATTATTTTCAGTCTTTAATATAGCTGTTAAATATAAATTCTGGATATAGTACAGAGCTTCGGGTTTTTATATTTAGGCTGTAAGACGGCAGGACCTTGACATTTAAAGTTTGATTTGAACATTTACTTGAAAGTTGACGGATTGCTATAAGTGGTTTATAGTTCAAACGATTTGGAACAAATTCAGAATGAGACAAATTAAGTCTGGATGATTCGACCCCATGATATGAAATGCTTGACTCAACACGCCCCATCAAAACAAAACTTCTGAGTGAAACTATATACAGTTTGGAAAAAGGCGTTAGCACAGGGACACAATTGTCAGTTCAAATCCCATAATGACAATTTATATTACGCCAATCCTCTATGTCATGGAGTCAGAAGTGTTTTGGATTACGTTTATCAGACAGCGGGTACTACTGTTATGCTAAAATGAAGAAAATAACAATCAAGCTTTCCCAGATGATTTCTATTTTCTTTTATTGTGAGTGTATGTAAACTGACAATATTGTTGATAATCTCATGGTTTATAATCATATTATTTCTCTTGTTCACTCTCTCCTGCTCTCCTACAGATGAATAAACTTTTAATCTAGATAAACAATCAGATATTTGGATTCTCTTTTGCGTATGTTCAGTGCACGAGAAATACAACGGCAGCCGAAAAGAAAATTACACCCAAATATATTCGTCACTGTGATCACTTTTAAAAACCATTGCATACTACTATATACTGTCAAATGATTTAGCTAGAAATGTTCTCATCCTGCTGTTGTTCACGTTTGATCTTTTGATTTATGCAGTTAATGTTCTAAATATAAATGCTACAAAATCATCATTATTATATTTTGATACGGATGATTGTAGGTCACATTATAGAATTCAAGCTTACTGCCTTTATTTCGGCTTATAACACATGGTCTGTCCATCCTTTTAATACGTCACGACAACTTTGGACAGATATTACAACAACGACTAACGTTCATTTTTCCGCACTGGAAAATTTTAATAGATGTGACCTTTTCACTGCAACCAGTTTAAATTGTGAACTTTTGTATATGTCCATCCGGCAATACTTGTTCGAGACCATGATATTAAGGCTTAACTCAACATGTCCTACAAAACTGAGTGCACTTTCCTATCTGCAACAAATAGATGCTGTTTGTAAACAGGCATACAAATTTTTATTTACTTTTGCCCCTTACGCCTGTTACCCCCAATGGAGCATAGGCGACGGACCAGTATTCTTCAACCCACTCTGTTCTGAGCTTCCCTTTCCAGTTCCGTATAATTTTTGTTTTTTCATCTCATGTCTGCCTCCATTTCTCTGTGTAATTTGTCCCTCAGTCTTCCACTTCTCCTTTGACCTTGACGGTTCGAAGTGAGAGCTTGTGTTGTTACGCAGTTGTGTGCTTTCGGCAATGTGTGTCCTATCCACTTCCAGCGCTTTTTCCTTATTTACTCCTCCACGGGAATCTGATTTGTCCTGTCTCACAGTAGGTTGTTGCTGATGGTGTCTGGCCAACGGATTCGAACTATTTTGCGTAAACAACTGTTGATGAAAACTCGTATCTTCTGGGTGATGCCTTAGCTAGTTCTCCTAATTTCCACCCTATACAGTAGAAATGTCTCGACATTTGTATTAAAAATTTTGACCTTGGTGTGTGCTGACAGTATTTTTGAGTTCCAGGTTAAACCTTTTGAAGAAATGAGTTGACGCGTCGAAAACTTCCCATAAAAACGCCGTGTGCGATTAGCCTCAAGCTGTCACGCTTCCAGATCGCTAAGATCAACGCAAATTCAATTTCTTTTTCAGGTTCCTCAAGAAGTACCCTTGCACATTGTGGGAAATAGAGAAGTGACATCTGCTCTCATACCCGTAACAGCACACAAGAACAAAAAAGTCATAATCGAATCCTTCATATACCTCTTATTGACTTTTACCTCCACAACTATCTCTTCTTTCATTCCGTCATCACCTCACGCCGCCGATGCAAATGGCTGATATACCTGCCCATCTTTGTATATTTTCAATCTATTTACTAAGAAAAGTGGGTGTACCAATGCATTATTCATTGATGTTCGCCGTGTGCATTGTGGAGAGTATGCTTATAATAATCTTAGGACTCAAACCTGTTTTTAATGATTTTTTATGCACTATCTATTTTATGACAGACAAGTAAACTTTAATTAGAACTCTACAGTTGTAGCTGTTCGATCCAAGTGTTCCTTGAAGTGCCCAACCCACCTGTTTCGCTGTTCTTCAGTGTTGCTGATTACTTTGCCTTTATTGCTTTTCAATGGTTGTTCTGGTTTACGATGGTTCCCAGCCAGCCTCTTTGTTGTATCGTACAACTGTCACATGTTTCCTTCCTTTTCCGTCGTCATTGCTAGATTTTCCACATATTTGTGTTTTTCAGCTCTGATGCTCCTCTCTACTTGCCTGTTTGCTTCTCTGTATTCAGCATGTGCCTTCTCCTTTTCTGCTCTTGTTCGTCTGACTTTGATTGCAACCTTCTTGAATCTTATCCAGAGTAGCAATAAAGACCCATTCCTTGTGATGGTAGTTGTTGTGGCCCAGAACCTCGTGACTTGTTGAAGTGATTGCCTCCTTGATCCCTTTCCAATTGTTCTCCATGGTAGTTTCCTTTCCAATATCACGAAGAAAAGCCGTAATACAATTTTATGATGTTATCTGCCTCGATTTCCAATGCTTCTTGAGATTCAGTTTTATTTTGGCGACCAGCGAGTGGTGGTCTGAGGCTATATTAGCTCCTCTCTTGGTTCTCACGTTCTCCATCGTCCTTCTGAACGTTTTATCGATGCAGATATGGTGGATTTGGTTATGAGAAGTGTGATCCAGTGAAATCCATGTAGCTTTGTGTACGCGTTTGTGTGGAAATATTGTGCCACCTATGACCAGTTTGTTGAAGGTACACCGGTTTGCAAATCACTCACTCACCGTTTCCATTCCACCATCCCAGTCCATGTCGTTCCATGATGTCTTCATATCTAGTGTTATCGATGCCAACCTTTGTATGTGCGTCTCCCTTCAGAATGGTCAAATCCTTTAATGACCATCACTCGACGGTTGACTGAAGCCTCTCGTAGGATTGATCTTTAGCGTCTTCATTGTGATCGTTGGTAGGCGCATAGCTTTGAATGGCGCTTTCACTCATTGATGAAATTCACTAGAAATAATTTACTTTTATTCGATGATTGAAGTCGAATTATATTGGTTAGGAATGCATGCATATACATACAGTGGTTAATAGATCATAACACTAAACAATCAGTACAGAGACATAATGTTTACTGACGAAATCGATTCAGGCCCTACACAAATCACTGCCGACAGGGACTGGACGTTTGGATCCAGGTCTCACTGGAGTGACTTTACCATTCAAGAGCTGCTTGCTTTTAGACTCCGGAGTAGCACCTGGCTTTGGAGACTTAATCCCTGAATTGTTTACTAAAATCAAACAGTCCGGTAAGTGAATTCGGAAACATTAAATGAGGCGTGAACCAAAAGAATGTTACTCACACAACTGCTTCGAACGACCCTGAAAGATAAAAATAAGTGTGCGTTAGGGACAGAAACAACGGGAATTCACACGATCACTCATAAACCTCATCTCACTCACCATGATCAACTAACTGGCCACCGGACGTTGAATGTGAAACACACGCTTAAACACACAATACATTAAAACTAATTATTGGACTCTAGACAGCATATGTGAGTAATTCGTTGAGCACTGAGAGAAACCGGAATGAAACATTCCAGTTTATACCAAACTAATTTCAGTCAGGAAGTCATCGCTCGCTAACAGATATACTGTGCATTCAACCAGGTACACAAGATTAGGTCGATTGATACCTGGACCCCAGCTGATTCCACTAGATGAGATGTACTCAGTTTGTTGTAGGTATATGCTGCTGCGCAGCTACTTTGTTGACTGTCAACTCCTTTTTCTGAGTACCTAACAATACGGCACTTATAAAGCTACGCTGAAAGCTCAGTATTTGTATACCCGTAGTACTTGATATCGAACCTGATTCCGTCAGAGAATGAGGCAAAGGACTTTTGCTATCATAGGCGAACATTCTATTCTCTTGAAACCCATCGGATAAGTACCATGCTACCTCTTTGGGACTTCGTGCAATCTCGTCAATATCTTCCTGGCTTCCTATCCATTTCACCTTATTCTTCACAGATTTTTGACTTATACCTATTTCTGACATAACAATTCCACCAAATCCAAGATCCTGTGGTACCGAAGATAAGCAACATTAACTCGTGCACACTCAACAGCAAATAAAGTCGGAAAACTGAACCTTCTAGCACCGTCCCACGAACTCTCCTCCACATCCATACGTCAACCATACTCAAAGTCTGCTTATACGGCAACGCCGGCGTACGGTCAGCTGGTTAGCGACAAAGCATCCCCTTATCTATCAGGTAGGCATATTTTCGACCGGAATTCTCTGGAAACTACTATTTGCGGACTCTGTATTCTCAACGAGCCTAGGTTAACAAAACATACACATTGTGTGCGCACGTTGTTGGCGAACATGTGCAACAACCTGTTCCACTAATAAGGACCTGAGTTGCTTGAGTAAAACTACTACACGCCAAACTGGACATCACCATCCGGAATTCCGCGACTCAAATCTTCCGTTCCAGAAGCAAAGTCTGATTAGGATACTGAAACCCGGCCCAACCGCTATATTAGTATGTATCTAACTCGAATAGGCTAGTTTCAGCATAGCTTCAACTCTATTCAGCTACAGCGTCTCAGCGTATTCTGAAAAATAACGCGTATGAAGTGAAAGTGTTTATTGGACTACAACATTGATGAATTTTGAACATGAATATTTTGACGCTCAAAGTGATTTGTACGTTAATAAAAGTATTTGCACAATGCATCAACGAGGGAATCCCTGAAGAAACACTGGGATCGTTAGTCCTCGTCCGAAGAGGACGACTCCGAAGGGCTGGCATTTCCTGGACGGTGAATTACGGCTGACGTTATTCGAGGTCCTTTTGAGCTTCCATACCCACGGACTGGTTCGCCTCTGGCCGGACTGCGATCTCTTCTTTGGTCTGTCCGGTCGAACCGATCGTTTCTACCAAATTCGCGTGGTCCGCCTCGATTAGCTGGAGCACCTTGGAAACGGTTTACATCTCTTTCGCCCCTTCCTGAGTTGTAGTCAAACTGTCGGCCTGAAAACACGAAAAGGAAACAGTTATATTACCTGAGATAGTGGAACAACTATACCAGTCAGTAGCTCGACGAAATAAGCTTACCTTGTCTGTTCGAGTAATCACGTTGACCACTATAGTCACGCTGGTTGTACTCTCGTTGATTGCCATCTCTCTGGTTACCATTTTCACGCTGGTTAGTATGATCTCGATTGTTGAAATTACGCTGGCCGTAATCACGTTGACCACGTTGACCGTAATCTCTTTGTTCACGATGATAGGGGCGTTGATTATTATAACCCGGTTGTTGGTTATGCTCCTGGTCTATAATGAACATCACATACAATGTCTGGGCAACGTTTTACCTCTCTGGATTCGTCCACGCACAGGCCTGCCACCCATCATCTTATTCCCACAGGAGGTAAGAGCGGCACTGCACTGGTCGGAGTTTGAAAAAGTAACGTGGGCAACACTACAAACAATCGAAAACTCAAAATTAAATTTACCCCCTGGAACGTCCCTGTTCGTCTAACGAAAGCGCCACTCGAAGGGCTTCTGGAAACTCACGCATAATATCTCTTTCAGATGCTGTATAAGGGAGATTTGACACGGTAAGTGTACAAGAAGAATTCGAAGAACCGTCACCGTCGGTTCTACTATGCGCATCATATGTAGGCTGTCCGTATTCATTATCAGCGTGTGAGCGCCTGAAATCCCTGGAATTGGCTCCGTAATTCTGACTGACGTTTAAATTTTCTGACGAACCGGAACGACAATCTGGAAAAGGTAAAGCGAATGATTATTTAAATGCTCCTAAGACCAGCCTAGTGATCGTATGGGTCTTATTGATCAACTCACCTCCGTTCAGTTCTGCATGCAACAGCTGTCCACCAATTTCTTTTCCTTGAAGACATTCGTCGTAGGCTTGTTGACAGTCACGAGCATTGTTGAATTGCAAGATGCACATGCTGTTTCACATATGAAACAGAAAAAGAGAGCAAATATGGAGCGATCAATGGGAAGCGAATAAGCTTTACTAAAGACCCCGGTAGGCAGATCTTTCGAGTAACAAATTTCTACCTCCATCGAAAGTGTTCGTGTCGACCTTCCTGAATTTCACTCCGTCGCAAATAGTACCACCTGCTCACATTACAGGAATGGGTCAATGTGGCACACCTGCGTCGCCAGTAACAAAAGGTAGAAAGGTAAAAGATCGGAGTCAGTTCTTGTTAACGTACTAACGGAACATCATTAAAATGCCTAGGTTCACCTTGGGACACTTAACTTGCCAAACAAAAATACCGCAGACTGTTGAACCTAATGTTGTACGGCTCTCAAAAAGGAGTGAAGTAGTCAGATTTTGCAAAATTTTTTCAAATGCCCAGTAACAAATCAATTTGTAGGGAGTAAACTGTACTCACCCTTTAGATTGCGAAGATACGGAATGACTTCGTACGAAGTTGACTGACCTGGCCAAAGGGAATATTGACTGAACTTCTGTCTCATCTGCCGAGCTGGGCAAATTGTAAACAGCTAAAGAAGTGGCTTGGCCAGACGGGTATGCTTGTGTAACCGACATGCCTTCTAACTAAAAACGGAAGCGTCTATCAAGAACGGAAAACAAACTATCAAAAAAACCAAACTCATTTACAAGGATTTATTTGCGATTCAAATTTACAGGGCAATCAGTTCGTATTAACCAGAACCACCGCGTTTTTGCCAACCCCCACGGTTTCCACCACGACCACGGAAAGACTGCCCACCCCGACCATGAGGTGACTGGCCACCGCGACCGCGAGACCGACCACCACGACCACGGAACGAATTGTGCTTGAAATCACCACCAAACCTGTGCTGCGATTTAAAGTTGTCTCGATCTCCCGGACGATTGTCCGCTTTTGGAAATCCACCGAATGATTTCTTGTCTTGCGGGTTAGAAAACTTTTTGTTCTTCATACTCTTAGGTGAGACCATTTCAGCGTCTTCATCACTTCCGTCTTCACTTCCATCCGCTTCTTCGCTTTCCTCCTCACTTTCGTCGTCGTCTTCTTCACTTTCGTCACCCTCTTCACTTGTATCTTCATCCTCTTCCTCGTCATTCTCATCCTCATCGTCGTCTTCATCACCCACTTCCTCCGGCTTTGAGATTTTGGGCGCAACCTTGGTCTTCGAAGCACTACTTACTTCTACAGCTGTAATGGACAGCAAAAGTGTTTAGAAAGACAGCACAACCAGCAAGTAAACATCTTCAATGAAAACCGAAACAAACTTACATTTAGCTTTCTTCGCAGGTGGCCCAGACTGTTTCTGTTGTGTGTCAGCACAATCATCAATACAAACCTCTGAAGAGAAAACGCGAGTTAGTTTAGTGAGACGGAGACTCAAAAGACAGTAGTGAAAAGTCTGGTTAAAATGCAATGTGAGTAAAGTGAACCTTTTGAGGTGCAATCTCTACTATCGTTCGACGTACCTTTCAAAAATATGTTTAAGCGGCGACCTTTTAGAGTTGGATTTGAAGAAATAGCATTGCTGCAGTCTGAAGCGGTCTCAAACTCGACGGTCATGGGCCTGAAACAAAACAATATACTCTCAGGTTCGACAAACGAACTACTAATGTAATCGGAATAAGATTAAAGCAGTAGAAAATAGGTTTCAAATCAACTATTAGAATGTGGAATTACTTACGGACTTTGGTGTTTGGCAGTTGTGTCACGTGAGACTGAAACGACTCCGCTAAATAGTCCTTTGATGTCTGATTCTTTTGTATCAGTTGGAAAACCCCAAACTGTAGCAGTCTTGAGTTCTGGTCCACCTGTTAATGCCAGTTTTAGCTTTTGACCAGCGTGGAACTTTGGCTGTGAGACAGCAGTCTGGCGGACTTCCAGAGAAGGAAATTTAAGAATTGCCTTTCTGTACGGGTAAGAAGAAAATTTAAGACTGGTAGTAATAAACAATAAATAACCTGAGTGAGCAACGTAAGTTTACTAGCTCTGACCGGTTTACGTGCTTGTTCCAAACAAAAAACCAACACTACTCACCGTTTTTTCTGGATCCACTGAACGTCTACACATGTTGGGAACATCTCACGCAAGTCGTTTGGATGAAGATGACAGTCTAATACTGCAGCCCTTGCGCCGATATCAGAACCAGCTCCTAAAACGTACCAGTTAAACGACTACTGCCAATCAATACTTACGAGGCTGTTGATCTCTAGCGAAGTTGGAATTGAGCTGTTGACCTTCCACATTCAACGAGTCGAAAATCTGGTGAGCTTGTTTTGCATTATCAATAGAGGAGAAGGACATAAAAGCACTATTGGATTTTGGGTTTTTAGTTAGCAGCCTCTGAAAAACCGGTCGGCAGTTACTGGGGAGGTGACTTTTTAGTTGTTCCTGGAATAATACAATGTTTAGAAAGAAGTAACTTACAATTGTCAATGATTTTGGGATTCCACCTACGAACAAAGTCTTGGTGGGCTTTCCTTTTTCGTCATCATCAACTCCACCCACGGGTATTACTTCGAGCTCTTTCCCATGGAACACCAACTTCCCTGACTTTAGTCGGCTTTTGAACATGTTAATGTTGGTGACAGTAGCCATTATAGGTGCAGGCTCCACCTTGCCTAAGCTGGTCACTGGACTTATCTTAGAGAGGAATTCTTTCAGACCGTTCAAGTTGTCAGGTCCATTCAGTATGAGGATCTTCCCTGATGTACTGCTACCTTGTGGCCCTGACACAATTGCTTTACTTGGTGTGCTCGGTACTTTACTTTCCTTCTGTTTCTCATTCTTTGGTGACGAATCAGGCTTTTGAATAACCTTCTGTGCAACTAAGTTGTTGGCAATTTTACCTTTCTTGAGATTCAGATTGGAGTTGTCTTCATTGTTGTCATCGCTTGGTTCTTCGTCTTCATCCTCCTCACTATCGTCATCCTCCTCATCATCATCATCGTCCTCCTCTTCATCATCATCGTCTTCTTCCTCGTCGTCATCCTCCTCCTCCTCCTCATCATCATCATCATCTTCGTCGTCGTCATCCTCCTCATCATCATCATCATCTTCCTCGTCCTCTTCTTCTTCGGCATTTCTAGGACCCTTCTTCAATTCCATTTCTTTCTCAGTTTCCAATTTCAGTTTCTATGAATTTGGTTGGAACAAAAATCGTTTGGTCAGGCAATGAGACTTAATACTCTGAAGCTTTTAAAAACTAGCTCGACTTTTGCTTGTGGCAAGTCTAAGCTCCAACAAACTAGTGATTTTGAATGACCGATCCTTAATTGTCGTAGGACGACACACTGCGTTAAAATTTACAAGAATACAAACCGTCAGTAAGCATTCAAAACTTAGTCTAGCGTAGATAATTATACACACGAAATCGGAACAATGTTTAAACAGACTAACACATATCTCAGAAACAATTAATCCTTATCCGTCCCTTGGACCATTAACTTCGATTTAGCTCTACTGAACAAGATGGTCAGGTGAATGGTCATCGATCGCAAAGTGGGCAGATACTAAATGCATGCTCCGGTCACTGAAGTTGAGTGATCATACTCGATTCAGACCCTACACAAATATGAATCATCAACGCATAGTAAATTCGAGACTGTTCAAACTTGCCAAGTACGTCACTAGCTGGATAAAAGACTTGTCTCATAAACTTCAACTTTTGCTTAGGAATCTCACAAGGAGGCATGAGAATTCGAACTACTAACGTCTGAACTTTCGACACTCCAGAACCTCCCAATTGGCAAGCAATTCGGAGCTTCGTCGAAACATTCCTACATTTTGAATAAACTTATGGTGTGTGGGACGACAAAACAGCATAGATCACACGGATGGTGTGTTTGCTCACTTACCTTGTGAGACGTTCTCAGTTCATCAGCATCACCACACAACACACCTGTCTCGACATCCGCATCACTCTCATCACTGCCGACAGGGACTGGACGTTTGGATCCAGGTCTCACTGGAGTGACTTTACCATTCAAGAGCTGCTTGCTTTTAGACTCCGGAGTAGCACCTGGCTTTGGAGACTTAGTCCCTGAATTGTTTACTAAAATCAAACAGTCCGGTAAGTGAATTCGGAAACATTAAATGAGGCGTGAACCAAAAGAATGTTACTCACACAACTGCTTCGAACGACCCTGAAAGATAAAAATAGGTGTGCGTTAGGGACAGAAACAACGGGAATTCACACGATCACTCATAAGCCTCATCTCACTCACCATGATCAACTAACTGGCCACCGGACGTTGAATGTGAAACACACGCTTAAACACACAATACATTAAAACTAATTATTGGACTCTAGACAGCATATGTGAGTAATTCGTTGAGCACTGAGAGAAACCGGAATGAAACATTCCAGTTTATACCAAACTAATTTCAGTCAGGAAGTCATCGCTCGCTAACAGATATACTGTGCATTCAACCAGGTACACATGATTAGGTCGATTGATACCTGGACCCCAGCTGATTCCACTAAATGAGATGTACTCAGTTTTTTGTAGGTATATGCTGCTGCGCAGCTACTTTGTTGACTGTCAACTCCTTTTTCTGAGTACCTAACAATACGGCACTTATAAAGCTACGCTGAAAGCTCAGTATTTGTATACCCGTAGTACTTGATATCGAACCTGATTCCGTCAGAGAATGAGGCAAAGGACTTTTGCTATCATAGGCGAACATTCTATTCTCTTGAAACCCATCGGATAAGTACCATGCTACCTCTTTGGGACTTCGTGCAATCTCGTCAATATCTTCCTGGCTTCCTATCCATTTCACCTTATTCTTCATAGATTTTTGACTTATACCTATTTCTGACATAACAATTCCACCAAATCCAAGATCCTGTGGTACCGAAGATAAGCAACATTAACTCGTGCACACTCAACAGCAAATAAAGTCGGAAAACTGAACCTTCTAGCACCGTCCCACGAACTCTCCTCCACATCCATACGTCAACCATACTCAAAGTCTGCTTATACGGCAACGCCGGCGTACGGTCAGCTGGTTAGCGACAAAGCATCCCCTTATCTATCAGGTAGGCATATTTTCGACCGGAATTCTCCGGAAACTACTATTAGCGGACTCTGTATTCTCAACGAGTCTAGGTTAATAAAACATACACATTGTGTGCGCACGTTGTTGGCGAACATGTGCAACAACCTGTTCCACTAATAAGGACCTGAGTTGCTTGAGTAAAACTACTACACGTCAAACTGGACATCACCATCCGGAATTCCGCGACTCAAATCTTCCGTTCCAGAAGCAAAGTCTGATTAGGATACTGAAACCCGGCCCAACCGCTATATTAGTATGTATCTAACTCGAATAAGCTAGTTTCAGCATAGCTTCAACTCTATTCAGCTACAGCGTCTCAGCGTATTCTGAAAAATAACGCGTATGAAGTGAAAGTGTTTATTGGACTACAACATTGATGAATTTTGAACATGAATATTTTGACGCTCAAAGTGATTTGTACGTTAATAAAAGTATTTGCACAATGCATCAACGAGGGAATCCCTGAAGAAACACTGGGATCGTTAGTCCTCGTCCGAAGAGGACGACTCCGAAGGGCTGGCATTTCCTGGACGGTGAATTACGGCTGACGTTATTCGAGGTCCTTTTGAGCTTCCATACCCACGGACTGGTTCGCCTCTGGCCGGACTGCGATCTCTTCTTTGGTCTGTCCGGTCGAACCGATCGTTTCTACCAAATTCGCGTGGTCCGCCTCGATTAGCTGGGGCACCTTGGAAACGGTTTACATCTCTTTCGCCCCTTCCTGAGTTGTAGTCAAACTGTCGGCCTGAAAACACGAAAAGGAAACAGTTATATTACCTGAGATAGTGGAACAACTATACCAGTCAGTAGCTCGACGAAATAAGCTTACCTTGTCTGTTCGAGTAATCACGTTGACCACTATAGTCACGCTGGTTGTACTCTCGTTGATTGCCATCTCTCTGGTTACCATTTTCACGCTGGTTAGTATGATCTCGATTGTTGAAATTACGCTGGCCGTAATCACGTTGACCACGTTGACCGTAATCTCTTTGTTCACGATGATAGGGGCGTTGATTATTATAACCCGGTTGTTGGTTATGCTCCTGGTCTATAATGAACATCACATACAATGTCTGGGCAACGTTTTACCTCTCTGGATTCGTCCACGCACAGGCCTGCCACCCATCATCTTATTCCCACAGGAGGTAAGAGCGGCACTGCACTGGTCGGAGTTTGAAAAAGTAACGTGGGCAACACTACAAACAATCGAAAACTCAAAATTAAATTTACCCCCTGGAACGTCCCTGTTCGTCTAACGAAAGCGCCACTCGAAGGGCTTCTGGAAACTCACGCATAATATCTCTTTCAGATGCTGTATAAGGGAGATTTGACACGGTAAGTGTACAAGAAGAATTCGAAGAACCGTCACCGTCGGTTCTACTATGCGCATCATATGTAGGCTGTCCGTATTCATTATCAGCGTGTGAGCGCCTGAAATCCCTGGAATTGGCTCCGTAATTCTGACTGACGTTTAAATTTTCTGACGAACCGGAGCGACAATCTGGAAAAGGTAAAGCGAATGATTATTTAAATGCTCCTAAGACCAGCCTAGTGATCGTATGGGTCTTATTGATCAACTCACCTCCGTTCAGTTCTGCATGCAACAGCTGTCCACCAATTTCTTTTCCTTGAAGACATTCGTCGTAGGCTTGTTGACAGTCACGAGCATTGTTGAATTGCAAGATGCACATGCTGTTTCACATATGAAACAGAAAAAGAGAGCAAATATGGAGCGATCAATGGGAAGCGAATAAGCTTTACTAAAGACCCCGGTAGGCAGATCTTTCGAGTAACAAATTTCTACCTCCATCGAAAGTGTTCGTGTCGACCTTCCTGAATTTCACTCCGTCGCAAATAGTACCACCTGCTCACATTACAGGAATGGGTCAATGTGGCACACCTGCGTCGCCAGTAACAAAAGGTAGAAAGGTAAAAGATCGGAGTCAGTTCTTGTTAACGTACTAACGGAACATCATTAAAATGCCTAGGTTCACCTTGGGACACTTAACTTGCCAAACAAAAATACCGCAGACTGTTGAACCTAATGTTGTACGGCTCTCAAAAAGGAGTGAAGTAGTCAGATTTTGCAAAATTTTTTCAAATGCCCAGTAACAAATCAATTTGTAGGGAGTAAACTGTACTCACCCTTTAGATTGCGAAGATACGGAATGACTTCGTACGAAGTTGACTGACCTGGCCAAAGGGAATATTGACTGAACTTCTGTCTCATCTGCCGAGCTGGGCAAATTGTAAACAGCTAAAGAAGTGGCTTGGCCAGACGGGTATGCTTGTGTAACCGACATGCCTTCTAACTAAAAACGGAAGTGTCTATCAAGAACGGAAAACAAACTATCAAAAAAACCAAACTCATTTACAAGGATTTATTTGCGATTCAAATTTACAGGGCAATCAGTTCGTATTAACCAGAACCACCGCGTTTTTGCCAACCCCCACGGTTTCCACCACGACCACGGAAAGACTGCCCACCCCGACCATGAGGTGACTGGCCACCGCGACCGCGAGACCGACCACCACGACCACGGAACGAATTGTGCTTGAAATCACCACCAAACCTGTGCTGCGATTTAAAGTTGTCTCGATCTCCCGGACGATTGTCCGCTTTTGGAAATCCACCAAATGATTTCTTGTCTTGCGAGTTAGAAAACTTTTTGTTCTTCATACTCTTAGGTGAGACCATTTCAGCGTCTTCATCACTTCCGTCTTCACTTCCATCCGCTTCTTCGCTTTCCTCCTCACTTTCGTCGTCGTCTTCTTCACTTTCGTCACCCTCTTCACTTGTATCTTCATCCTCTTCCTCGTCATTCTCATCCTCGTCGTCGTCTTCATCACCCACTTCCTCCGGCTTTGAGATTTTGGGCGCAACCTTGGTCTTCGAAGCACTACTTACTTCTACAGCTGTAATGGACAGCAAAAGTGTTTAGAAAGACAGCACAACCAGCGAGTAAACATCTTCAATGAAAACCGAAGCAAACTTACATTTAGCTTTCTTCGCAGGTGGCCCAGACTGTTTCTGTTGTGTGTCAGCACAATCATCAATACAAACCTCTGAAGAGAAAACGCGAGTTAGTTTAGTGAGACGGAGACTCAAAAGACAGTAGTGAAAAGTCTGGTTAAAATGCAATGTGAGTAAAGTGAACCTTTTGAGGTGCAATCTCTACTATCGTTCGACGTACCTTTTAAAAATATGTTTAAGCGGCGACCTTTTAGAGTTGGATTTGAAGAAATAGCATTGCTGCAGTCTGAAGCGGTCTCAAACTCGACGGTCATGGGCCTGAAACAAAACAATATACTCTCAGGTTCGACAAACGAACTACTAATGTAATCGGAATAAGATTAAAGCAGTAGAAAATAGGTTTCAAATCAACTATTAGAATGTGGAATTACTTACGGACTTTGGTGTTTGGCAGTTGTGTCACGTGAGACTGAAACGACTCCGCTAAATAGTCCTTTGATGTCTGATTCTTTTGTATCAGTTGGAAAACCCCAAACTGTAGCAGTCTTGAGTTCTGGTCCACCTGTTAATGCCAGTTTTAGCTTTTGACCAGCGTGGAACTTTGGCTGTGAGACAGCAGTCTGGCGGACTTCCAGAGAAGGAAATTTAAGAATTGCCTTTCTGTACGGGTAAGAAGAAAATTTAAGACTGGTAGTAATAAACAATAAATAACCTGAGTGAGCAACGTAAGTTTACTAGCTCTGACCGGTTTACGTGCTTGTTCCAAACAAAAAACCAACACTACTCACCGTTTTTTCTGGATCCACTGAACGTCTACACATGTTGGGAACATCTCACGCAAGTCGTTTGGATGAAGATGACAGTCTAATACTGCAGCCCTTGCGCCGATATCAGAACCAGCTCCTAAAACGTACCAGTTAAACGACTATTGCCAATCAATACTTACGAGGCTGTTGATCTCTAGCGAAGTTGGAATTGAGCTGTTGACCTTCCACATTCAACGAGTCGAAAATCTGGTGAGCTTGTTTTGCAATATCAATAGAAGAGAAGGACATAAAAGCACTATTGGATTTTGGGTTTTTAGTTAGCAGCCTCTGAAAAACCGGTCGGCAGTTACTGGGGAGGTGACTTTTTAGTTGTTCCTGGAATAATACAATGTTTAGAAAGAAGTAACTTACAATTGTCAACGATTTTGGGATTCCACCTACGAACAAAGTCTTGGTGGGCTTTCCTTTTTCGTCATCATCAACTCCACCCACGGGTATTACTTCGAGCTCTTTCCCATGGAACACCAACTTCCCTGACTTTAGTCGGCTTTTGAACATGTTAATGTTGGTGACAGTAGCCATTATAGGTGCAGGCTCCACCTTGCCTAAGCTGGTCACTGGACTTATCTTAGAGAGGAATTCTTTCAGACCGTTCAAGTTGTCAGGTCCATTCAGTATGAGGATCTTCCCTGATGTACTGCTACCTTGTGGCCCTGACACAATTGCTTTACTTGGTGTGCTCGGTACTTTACTTTCCTTCTGTTTCTCATTCTTTGGTGACGAATCAGGCTTTTGAATAACCTTCTGTGCAACTAAGTTGTTGGCAATTTTACCTTTCTTGAGATTCAGATTGGAGTTGTCTTCATTGTTGTCATCACTTGGTTCTTCGTCTTCATCCTCCTCACTATCGTCATCCTCCTCATCATCATCATCATCATCATCGTCCTCCTCTTCATCATCATCGTCTTCTTCCTCGTCGTCATCCTCCTCCTCATCATCATCATCATCATCATCGTCGTCATCCTCCTCATCATCATCTTCCTCGTCCTCTTCTTCTTCGGCATTTCTAGGACCCTTCTTCAATTCCATTTCTTTCTCAGTTTCCAATTTCAGTTTCTATGAATTTGGTTGGAACAAAAATCGTTTGGTCAGGCAATGAGACTTAATACTCTGAAGCTTTTAAAAACTAGCTCGACTTTTGCTTGTGGCAAGTCTAAGCTCCAACAAACTAGTGATTTTGAATGACCGATCCTTAATTGTCGTAGGACGACACACTGCGTTAAAATTTACAAGAATACAAACCGTCAGTAAGCACTCAAAACTTAGTCTAGCGTAGACAATTATACACACGAAATCGGAACAATGTTTAAACAGACTAACACATATCTCAGAAACAATTAATCCTTATCCGTCCCTTGGACCATTAACTTCGATTTAGCTCTACTGAACAAGATGGTCAGGTGAATGGTCATCGATCGCAAAGTGGGCAGATACTAAATGCATGCGCCGGTCACTGAAGTTGAGTGAACATACTCGATTCAGACCCTACACAAATTATATGAATCATCAACGCATAGTAAATTCGAGACAGTTCAAACTTGCCAAGTACGTCACTAGCTGGATAAAAGACTTGTCTCATAAACTTCAACTTTTGCTTAGGAATCTCACAAGGAGGCATGAGAATTCGAACTACTAACGTCTGAACTTTCGACACTCCAGAACCTCCCAATTGGCAAGCAATTCGGAGCTTCGTCGAAACATTCCTACATTTTGAATAAACTTATGGTGTGTGGGACGACAAAACAGCATAGATCACACGGATGGTGTGTTTGCTCACTTACCTTGTGAGACGTTCTCAGTTCATCAGCATCACCACACAACACACCTGTCTCGACATCCGCATCACTCTCATCACTGCCGACAGGGACTGGACGTTTGGATCCAGGTCTCACTGGAGTGACTTTACCATTCAAGAGCTGCTTGCTTTTAGACTCCGGAGTAGCACCTGGCTTTGGAGACTTAGTCCCTGAATTGTTTACTAAAATCAAACAGTCCGGTAAGTGAATTCGGTAGGCTTAAGTATCAGATAAAGCTAGTCGAAAAATACGTCCCCAATCCGGAGAGTTAATACTGGTATACGGCCTTTCTCCGACAGACTATAACCGGAGCTATCCATTTGCCACGTTCTAACGACCCAACTAACAGCGACGGTGATGTTTCAGTGCTGGTGACTGAACCGTGTCTACAAACATTTCAACCGTTACACGTAACCTCCATTCACACGAGCTTCACTTGCACCGTAAGGCGTGTCTCCAAGGGAATCTAAGTGATGGTCTAGTTTAAAAAATACTGTATAATCTAAAAAAGAAGACTTCTCCTGGCTTGGATGTTTTTCACAATTTGAAGCTAACATATATCATATCAGTTTCAAAAGGAGACCGACGCAAGGAACCTTCAAGCTACCGGCCCGTAGCACTCCTTTCAATGCCATCAAAAGTTTCAGAGTCCTTGATATACGATGGTTCATTCGACCATTTGTGTTCTGTAAACTTCTCGCTCCAGCGACATGGTTTTAAGAGAGGGAACTCTTATGCAACCAACCTGCTGACAGTGATGGATATCCGGATAAATTTTCTTGTTCATAAAAGGGAGGTTGATGTGAAACGTATCGACTTTTTGAAAGTTTTTGACAGGGTCAGTCATATATGTCTGACCAGTAAGCTAAAATTATTGGGTGTAAAACCACCTATAATAGAATGGTTAGCTGCATGTCTAAATAATCGACGTTTAAGATCAGAGTCACCTTTAATTTCTAGCGAGCTGCAAATTACATTAGTGGAGTTCCCCAGGGTACAATTCTAGGACTACTTCTATTTTTAATTATATGAATGACCTTCCTCAACAAGTATCGTCTGAGTAATTACTTTTCGCAGATGATTTTAAAATCGGGGAGACGTCTGCAGCTAAGATAGTAAGCTGGCTCTTTAGGAGAGTTTGATTCAACTTCGAATCTGGGCGAATGACGAAGAACTTAATATTAACATTTCGAGATGTAAAACAGTCCACCTGGAACACTCTGTGAACTATGAATACAATTAAGGTAACTCTCCTCTAGAAATTCCCCAAATTGAAAAATTTATCGGTCTTGATACCCTATGATCTAAAGTCTACATTTAACAAAAATGGACTTTAAGAACAAAAAGCAGTTCGAAGGCCCAATTCTTGTAAAGGGAGCCTCACTGGATCAGTATTGGTGAGGATATGGGCGTCTGAGTGCATCAACTTCATGGACTAAGAGAAAGCATTCGATAGCATGGATAGGAAAACACTGTGGAGGCTTCTTCGACACCACGGGGTGCCTGAGAAAATAGTTAACATCATACGGAATTCTTATGATGGTTTAACTGCAAAATCGTGCACGGAGGTCAGCTGACAGACTCTTTCGAAGTGAAGACCGGTGTCAAACAAGGTTGCTTACTCTCACACTTTCTCTTTCTCCTGGTCATCGACTGAATTATGAAGACGTCAACATCTGGAGGGAAGCACGGCATTTAGTGGACTGCTAGGATGCAGATGGACGGTCTGGACTTCGCAGATGACCTGACTCTTCTATCGCACACCTAACAAATGAAAGAGAAGACGACCAGTGTAGCAGCAGCCTCTGCAGCAGTAGGTCTCAACATACATATAAGAAAAAGCAAAATTCTCCGATGCAACACAACATGCACCAACCAAATCACTCTTGATGGAGATGTCTTGGAGCACGTTAACACCTTTACATATCTGGGCAGCATAACCGAAAATCAAGATGAATCCAGTGCAGATTTCAATCAACACCAAGATCAGGATTTCTACTAAAAATGTCAAGACAGTCCTTTTTATGAGGCGAAAACTTGTAGAACTACCAAATCCATCATCTAGATTCCCGTTGAAGAGGAAATGAGGAAGAAGCGGTGGAAGTGGATAGGACACACACTACGAAAAGCCCCTCACTGCGTCACAAGACAAGAGAAAAGAAGAAGGCCAAAAAACACTATACGCCAAGAAATAGAGAAAGACATGAGAAGAATGAACAAAAACTGGAAAGAACTGGAAATGGAAGCCCAAGACAGAGATGGCTGGAGATAACTGATAGACGGTCTTTGCTCCATTCGGGGTAGTAGGCGTAATTAAGTAAGTAAATAAGTAATTTCCATCCTGTCGGGACTTATTGTGAGTGCGTCATGTGCTCTTCACATTTATCTATCTGTAACTCTGAAAGTATGTTTTGATATCTCCCAATGAAAGACTAACTTAATGTGTCCTATCTAATAGTTAGCCCTCATGCACACGTTGGATCATAGATTCACATGCACGTTTATTTACTCATATATTTACGTTTATATAAACTACCAGTCTTACTGTCAATGATTTAGAACTAAAATTTTCCCAAACGTTGCGTACATTTTTAGAGCCAAAGCTGGAATAACGATGACAAAGAATCAGCACAATCCATGTTGTAGCGATCCATTAAATGTTATCAACAATTTTTCGGCAAAAAACAATACCAGTATAAGCTGGGTAGTCTCTCTAAATTCACTTGTCCTACTTAACAGTTTTAACTAGCGTATAGAAACTGTGGTTTCTTCTTAGTTATAACATGCTTTTGACCACTCATCTTGTGTTCTCTTACTTTTGTGTTATCTCTCTAAGGTCTTCTGTAGGAATGAAGCCGGTTATCGATCCTGAATCGGTAAAGCAGAATAAAAAAAGCAAGATCCACAATTCCAATCAAAAGCTTCTTCCATCCATAAATATAACTCAGCAACACGCTTTCAGGAAGGGTGCTTTTACGTAACCAACCTTTTGACTGTGATAAACAGATGGTAAACAGTACTTAATCGTAAAGGAAAGATTGATGTGATATGTCTTGACTTTTCAAAAACCTTTGGTTGGGTTATTTACAGCTAGCTCATCAATTAGTTCAAAATTTTATGTATCAAGCCACTTTCATTGGATTGGTTAGCTTAATGTCTTAAGGATCAACTTTTTAAGGTTAAGGCTAACTTCAAAAGTAGAACGTTCCAACCATTCTTTCATAGCCTTTAGATGTTTGATCCCTCACTCCGATAGGACATGAATACATTGGAAGGTATCCGAAGTTGAGTCGCGAAATCCGTTTGAGGACTAAAATTTACAATATACAAAGTCACAACCAACTGCTGACTAGAATTAGGCAGTCGAGTGGCTAGACACCATTCATTGGACACTAGCAAACGCCTGGAACAGTAATGAAATAAAAAGAATCGAGAGAAAATACATCAACTGATTTATACTAGCTCGTGAAAAAGATATTAGATATTGTACATGGTTTAGTTTATTGTTACACATTTAAAGTCTTGCGCTACCAACTCTACTTATTATTATCAGTTTGTCTTAACCTCATGCTCGCGTTATTTCTCATTGTAGTCGATTGTTTTCTTAATTAAAAGTTGGTGCACTCTATTTTCCTACTGAACAGTGGGCTCACTTTTCCCCTTTCTTTTTCTAATAGATAACATAAAACACCACACGTCATATTTCCAGTGCGCAAGGCAATTTCACGCTAAACGCAACTTATCAAAAGCTGAAATTACATTACAGCTAGGGATATTTTTAGAAGTAGGCTAGAGGTTAAGCCAGAGTTTACGGAGCTAGTTATCATCCAAAATAATTGCAATTTTATGCCAGTTTGCCTCTGTTATAAACATTTCGCTCTCTAAGTATTTTACGATCTTAAACTGTAAACCCGAGCTGCGTCCGTTTTTGTTTCCTACTGTCATGTCCTATATTGCTAAAAATACCATTTTTATGTCTTTGGTGTGTATTTCATTGATGTCTAGTCAAAATATAAAAAGGAAGTACCACAAAAGTATGCCATTTCCGTTGTCTTCTCCAAGAAACCACCGAAGGGGAAATAAAATAATGCTAGTCACAAGTTTGACTAATACAGTCAAACGTGGCTTAGAAATATCAGTCATGTAATTGGAATTTGAACAATAAAAGTAGGTCAGTCGACGATGTTTCGTCATTTAGATTATAAAACCATCGAATGATGTTGGGTTCTTGGTATTGGTTACTGGTGACTAGAGGTACTCAGCCATGTACATATTAAAAAAATGTGGGTTTTGGACATGTAACTTTTTATTTAAAACTAGTACTTAACTTTTCAGGGAATAAATCTGTTCATACCATGTAATGCTTTGATTAATGATAAATACTCCTCACTTCTGTCCACAGTTGCATTTTGAATTGCTATTTAAGCTTGTTCTAATAAAATCAGGCTTCGATAACCTTCAACCATATTCCATTTTGCGGAATTATAGATTACGTTGTGAGGACTAAAGAATGGTTTTCATTTCGTGTTTAAGATCTGCGGTAGTGAAAATTCACCGACCTGTTAGATTTCATTTATATTTTTCAACGAGATATCTACTTACCTCATCCAAATCGCCCGCACTGTCCGTCCCAATCAGTCAGACAACAACTCAAGCTGGATCAGTTGTGGGTCGGTGGCTCTTGGGTCTTTCTGGTATGACTTTCGGTGCTATTTTTCTGGGTGGAGTTACAAGGTTTTCATTATTTCTATTCTTAAACTACTAACTTAAGATTGACCGAATCCGGTCTCTCAATGGTCGAATGGCATCCGTTTAAAGAGGTACCTCCTTTAAATGAAGAACATTGGCAATTAGAATTCGAAAAGTACAAGAAGTTTCCGGAACACGAACAGCAAGTTTGGATTTTTTAAAATTTATTTCCTGCTCAGTTATGTGAAGGAGCATGGAGAAATGTCAATCACTCAGTTTAAGTTTATATGGTATATGGAGTTTATTCATCGAATGTGGGGTCGGACCATCGGTGGCGCTTTTGTCTTGCCGGCAGCTTATTTCTTCTACAAGGGTTACTTATCTTCAGCAATGAAGTCTCGCGTTTTTATTTATGGTGGACTAATTGGTTTCCAGGTAGTCATTTACTTTTCACCCTGTTTTAATAACATATTGTATTCCAAAAACATGGATTCCTATATGTATTTTCATAGACGTTAAAGTCACTATTAATTAAATATGCCCCCAGTGTTTACCGACTGTCTTCATCAATTCAAAGAACAAACAAAGTTTTAATATATCAGACCAAACGTAAATATTCCTTAGTGTTAGGTTCACTACATAATGTCTGATTCGAAAACAAGGTTTTTTGTTTTGGACTTGTCAAAGCGAACTAACAATGTTATCTGTATCACTGCTTAGTCACTCAGTCAGATGCAACATAGAACTTCGTACGTAAGTACATCAGTTCATGTTGCCATACCACATTAGACCGGAGATGTAATTGTCAATTCAAATCCAATAGTAGTAGAGATAGTAAAGGTATTAGAAGTAATCGGAAAAGTTAGGATTAGAAGATATTATTCAAGAAGTATGATTCAGTGAGATAAGTTTAGAAAGACTAAACTATAGGTGTTGCAAAATCCAGAAGGTTAGGATTTGAGAGAACACAAAGAATAAATGCACCAGCGCCATTGCAAACGGTTTTGAATCATGTCATTCAGGGTCTCTAACCATCGATTATTATCATCTCGCGGACCCCAACCAGGTAGTCGACAACTACCGACATGGCTAAGTCCACTCGTCAATGACTTCATGGATTTCTGCCATGTTTTGGTTTGGCCGCCCCTAACTTCCTTCCAACCTATTCCTACACTACAAAACAAAGTTCGTCGAGGCAGTCGGTGGTTAGGCATGCGCAACACTTGTCCCAACCACCTCAACTGATGAAGTTTCATTACTTCATCTATTGATCTGCCATTCTTACCTAGTACCCGTTTCCTAATAACAGCGTTGCTCACTCGGGTATCCCAGGATATACGAGCAATGCTTCGAAGACACCTATGATCGAAAACCAGTAACCTACGAATATCTTCTACTCTTAACGGCCATGTTTCGCAGCCATGTAGTAGTACGGATCGAACTACTGCTCAGTACACCCGTCCCTTAGTCATCAAACGGATATCTCGCCTACGCCATAAGTGACGCAGGTTGGCAAAAGCCAATCGAGCTTTCTGTATCCGAGCTGAGATTTCGTCAGTCACCAGGCCATCGGCACTGATGAGACTCTTATGATAAGTGAAGCGCCCAACACGCTCAACTACTTCACTTCATTGGTGGGTGGAGAAAGCGATGGAAAAGACAGCGGCGATGGACAACAGCAGACAGCTTTCCCGCCTTATCAAGGAAACCGGTAATAAAACTATCTCAATCTAGGATATTGGATCGATGGGCAGAACACTTTAAGGATCAGTTCAACTGGCCATTCAGCCACACTCTGGTTGCCCATGATCTTCAGTCACTGATCTTCAGGCACTGATGAGACTTCCAAGATAAGTGAAGCGGTCTACTCGCTCGACTACTTCACTCCCTATCACTAGTTCAGGTGCTGATGCAACCCAATCTTAAAGCAAAATTTTGCATTTTGAGGGGGGAAATCGCATCCCGAACATGCTTGCATTGTTGCTTAGGGTTGTCAGAAGCCTCTGCATTTTGTCAGCGTCTTCACCAAGTAGGACTATGTCATCGGCATATTCTAGGTCAGTAGGCGATCCTCCTGGTAGAAGGTCTACCCCTAAAAAATCTGACGAGGATAACGTTAAATTTAAAAGGATGTCTACGACAATGTTAAACGAGAATGGGGAGAGTGGACATCCCGGACGGACACCACTTGAAGTAACTAATTTCGTTGACAGTTCGCCATAAGCTCTTACTCGACCAGTGATGTTCGAGTAGAGTGCTTGTATAAGGTTAATGTACTTCTTTGGTACACCTTTCAATGACAGACACTGCCACAGAACCTCACGATCAACGAAGTTGAATGCCGATTTGAGGTCGAGAAATACTACTATTGTCGGACGCTTAAATGTGTGTCTGTGTTCCAGGACCTTTCGTAGAGTAACGTTTCATTCAGACGCTACATGGAACCTGGCATACGTGTACATCGGTCCAAGTTGTTGTACTGCATTAACACAGAGATAAAATTCTCAGGGCGAATCCCAAAGTAGCAGGGGTAGTAACTGTATTACGTCAAGGTAGTCGGTGAATGAGTATACGTAATACATGTCCAAAAGTTTAAAAATGATTCGTACCATAAACCCTAAACAATCAATTACTCGTGACGATAGCAATCTAATCAAATGGTTGTTGAAATAAAACACCTTACGCTTAGTTTTTGAAAAGTGTTTAGACAATCTGCCTTAGGCAAAAGATGTTGATGACTTGAACTACGGATTGTTAATGAATCATCCAACTTAATTATCCCTTTTTTAGTAATAGCATATATATTTCTATGTATTTGTGAGTATCGTTCGAAAACAATCCTCCAACTAGCCTTATTATCAATAAATTCCTAGGGATAAGAACCAATTTTGAGAGATAATTAAGCTAAATAGTGGGATTTTACCATTATGTAGTATAAATAATAGTACTCCAAAGTTTAAATTAACACTGACTTTTTTTATCTACGATACTCTCCGTTCCCATTTAACTTTGTCATTGACATGCTTTTGAAAACGATACTTTCATCGTCTGACTTTTAAGCTCACCTACCAGGAGACTCGCTTGTCGACTTAGAATATGCAGATCACATAGTTCTTTTCGATGAAGATCCTGACGAAATGCAGAGTCTTCTGACTACTCTAAGCAAGTCAGCTGCTACGTAGAATTTCGTACGTAAGTACATCAGTTCATGTTGTCATACCACATTAGCACAGAAACGCAATTGTCAATTCAAATCCCATAGTGATAGAGATAGTAGAAGTACTATTGGTAAAGGAGAAGATGAGGGTTCCAAGATATTATTGAAAAAGTGTAATTAAGTGAGATAAGTTTAAAAAGACAAAGGTAGAGGTGTTGACGAATCCAGAAGATTGGGATTTGGGAGAACACAGAGAGTGGATGCACCTGCGCCATTGCAAACGATTTTGAGCAATGTCATTCAAGGTCTGTAACCGTAACAGCACACGAGACCAAATTGTTCACAATCAAATCCTTCCTACACTAAGCAACAATGCAAGCATGTTTGGGATGCGATTCTCACCGCCGAGATGCAAAATGTTGATTTAGGATTGGGTTGCATCGGTATCTGAATTAGTGATAGGGAGTGAAGCAGTTGAGTCACTTATCTCGGGAGTCTCATCAGTGCTGATGTTTTGGTGTCTGATGAAATCTCAGAATGGATAGAGAAGGCTCGATTGGCTTTTGTCAATTAACGTCACTTATGGCGCAGGATAGAATATCCGTCTACTAACAAAAGGACGAGTGTACTGTGCAGCAGTTAGTTCCGTCTCACTATACGGGTGTGAAAGATGGCCAGCAGCAGTAATGGATATTCGCAGGTTACTAGTATTCGACCATAGATGTCTCCGAAGCATTGCTCGTACGTCCTGGGACCACCGAGTTAGCAGTGCTAGTGTTAGGAAATGGGTACTTGGTAAGAATGGCAAATCAGTAGGTGAAGTAGTGAATCTTCATCAGTCGGGGTGGTTGGGATGTGTTACGTATGCCCAACCACCGACGAGCGATGTTGTCTGGTATAGGGTTAGCCTATAAAATGGCTAGGGGCGGCCTAACCAAAACATGACAGAAATCCATGAAGTCATTGCTGAGTGGACTTAGCCATGTCGGCAGTTGTCGACTACCTGGTTGGGGTCCGCGAGACGAAATTCACCAAGGGTTAGACACGTTGAACGACATGGCTTAAAATCGTTTGCAATGGCGCAGGTGCGTCCAATCTTTGTGTGCTTTTTAATTCTAACCTTCAGAATTACTCGTAATCTCTACCTTTCTAATTCTAAATTTATCTCACTGAATTATACTTTGCGAATCATATCTTCGATCTCTAATCTACTCCATTGCTGCTAACAATTCTACTATCGCTATCACTATTGGATTTGAACTGACAGTTACGTTTCTGTGCTGACGTGGTATGGCAACCTGAACCGATGTACTTATGTACGAAGTTCTGAGTTGTATCTGTCTAATTGTCTGTCTGAAACGTTACTAAACTCTAAAGTTCGATCGATAGCATTACTATCACCATTTTCTGAAATTCATGAATAACCGCAACTAGATGAGTGCTAAAAGTCACTTGCGATTCCCTGCATTCTCTTCAAATTAACGCAGGCAAATTTTGTAGGATGCATACAGTCGATCTTACTCGTCAAGAAGTTTTCAAATACTATCTCGTATCTCATATGTGATATTTGATATGATGAATAAACAGAGAGGTGCTTACGATTTGAGATGGATAGGTCATTTCACCAATGTTTTATGCTTAGTTTGTATTTCCAAAGGGCTTATCTGTACCAAATGCCATTCACAGAAACCGATCTAGTTGGTTCACACTTTATAATCCCAAGACTACTGAATTGATCAATGATATTGATCACCTGATTAGCTTTCTAACCACTTTGGCCTCTACGGCACTCCACTGCACCAAGCTGTCGGATTTTGTAGTAGTTATCACAAGAATCTGGTCAAAAGATTTTGTAATCCAGATATTAAAATATCCTTCAGTTAAGAGTTTGTAATAGGCTTCTTGTGACTTTAATTCGGTAGCGTCAAACATTCGAATCAAAAGATGTTGCTAAACACCATAAAATTTGGTTTTTCGTGTTTATTATGACATGCGTGTAATCTCTTGATACATTTTCTCACTGTAGGGTGTTTTGGGCTGGCTTATGGTACGAAGTGGTCTAAAAGAACCTAGAAGACCAGCGGGACTTTCACCAAATGAAAATTATATTGGCGTTCCGCGTGTGGATCATTATTGGCTTTGTGCTCACTTGGCTTCAGCAATTGTTCTGTATTCATTACTATTGTGGGGTAGCTTTAGCCATTTAGCTTCCCATTCTTTAGTAAGTGTGACTTCTATGTTTATCTTGTAAAGCTGATTATTAAATGGTAATTTTAGAGTATGCTCGCCAATTTCAATTAAATCTCCGCATAACATTTGGACATCGAAAAGTTCAAGTCTCGTTTTTAACCAACAATGACTTGATAATAATGATTCCAAGATAAGTTAGGTATCATCTTCGATATTATTGTGATTGTTGTACCAAAGTAAAGACTTGCATTTCATGTTTTTATCTATATTGAACATTAGGAATCTATGTCAGATGATTCTGCCCATTTAATATAAATTTAAACCTATCTCAGTATGAATCTAATCAAGAATGACTGATTATCATCTCATTCGGATAAAAAATGACGTATCTCTGTCACTTTACTTCCATGGAAAGAAAAGAAAACGAGTGACTATGTTATACATGTATCTAAATATAATACGGTTATCAAACAGTGTGTCATATAACTAAAAGCTTTAATGAATTTTCCATAGATATTTTTCAGAATTACATAAACCTAAGCTTCATTTTTATATTTTAGTATTCAGAAAAATCCTTTTAAACCTCTTGTAGGAAGGACGCACACTAAACATTTCACGTTAGTATGTTTTCTAACATTTTTAAGACTCAAGATTGTCACAATCATTTGTTCCTAACTAAACTACGCAGTAGGTTCCTTAAATGTGCCGACATTTATGGCTCCCACCCGAAGTTGTTACGCATACTGAGCTGTTGTTTGATTTGGATCCCCGTCTGCACCATAGTACTTGAAACTGAGCAAATTTTACATACTCCATACTGCCACCAAAACTTTTTATAAGATAAGAATTTTAAAGTAGTTAGTGGTGTGATCTTGCAATCACACATTCCCAAAGTGAAACTCAATATTTGAATCAAATTCGTTTTACAGCAATTACACCTAAACATCCAAACTCAAAAGTAATCAGAAATATCTTGACATATATATTAAAACAGAAATACAAAGGATTAATTCGATGAATGATTGCTGAATGTCAGCGTTCAACTATTTTACATGATTAGGGAACTTACAAAAGCTGGAAAATATAATTATTTTGTCACTAATCTATAATAATCTTCAAACTAGTTACCTTAAATTGATTTAGTAGATTCGTTTCGATTGCGAGAAGTGACTTAATGAAAGATTTTAATTCATTAAAAAAGGAATTTAGTATTGAAATAGCAAATTGAATACAAAGTTATTCTAAAGGCAGATATTCAGCAGAGTTGTCAAGTACTGTCTGGTTTTCAAAACAATTGTTAGTGCAACATAACACAATGCACTTCAAGGCCGCCTCATTAACTTTAAACCCACACATTAGTCAGTTATACGAGTTAGGTACAGTACACCTGGTTTAACCTTCAGTAGTATTATATGTAACAGTTTACACTTAAATTTAGCATCTGATTTCGCTGGTTATGAAAAACAGCTACATTAGCATAAGTTTTTAGTTAGTATTTGAGCTACTTGTTTCATGAGTACATCCTAATTTATAAACTTTTAATAGGTTAAACCATTCAGTGGCATAAAACGACTTAAAGCATATGGTCATATGGGGAAAGCTCTGACATTTGCGACCATAATTTATGGTGAGTGTGAAAAATCTTTCGTTTATTTATTTTTCAGCTTGCATATGTATTTGAACAAAAACTAATTGCAAATATTGCATATCTATAATACAAAAATCTGTGGTTTTCAAGGCTGCTTATGTAGTCAGCTTTAATTAACAAGTAACTTTGTTTGAGCATGTTGAACTTCACACTTGTTGTGTTTGGAATCCTATGAGTAAAAGAAAGTTGTAAGAATTTTAGAGTCAGTCAAACCGAGACGTGACATCACTAGATAAATTCAAAAAACTGCTAGTTTGTTCCTCAGCTATGTTAGGAGGAATGAAAACTGTCCGGTTTTTATCAGAACCATGATCATAGTTTGTGGCTGATGACCTCGGCTAAAAACTAGTAACAGTGGTAGTACTGCTCTCTGGAATTGTCTACCTAAGAAGCATGATGAACCTGAGAAGTTTATTAACATCTTGAAGGCCCAATATACAAACATTTTAGAAAGAGTAAGAGCATTCAAGTCCATTGCGAACGATTTTGAGCCATGTCATTCAGGGTCTCTAACCATCGATTATTATCATCTCGCGGACCCCAACCAGGTAGTCGACAACTACCGACATGGCTAAGTCCACTCGTCAATGACTTCATGGATTTGTTTGTGACTTACCGGACGTAGGAGAGACATCGCAAGGGAACATCTTATGGTTCTACTAAATGATGGAAAAGCTAAGATTATATTTTGGGAGCAACTAGAAAGACAGTTAGGCAACCATATAAGTGATCTCCATCCGGAGGCAGCTTGGAGTGATATTAAAAAAGTTGTGGAAACAGCAGTGATTTCTGCTGGTATGCTAAACCACATGGCTAGGAAAAAGCAGTGGACCTCAGCAGCATCCACTGAACTGATAGACGCTCGTAAACTCATCCCACCCGGTTCTGAACATGATGAAGAGCAAAGTCAGCTTAAGCGCAGACTTATAAAAAGCTACGCAAAGACCGCAAACATTGGTGGGTGGAGAAAGCGATGGAAAAGACAGCGGCGATAGACAACAGCAGACAGCTTTCCCGCCTTATCAAGGCAACCGGTAATAAAACTATCTCAATCTAGGATATTGGATCGATGGGCAGAACACTTTAGGGATCAGTTCAACTGGCCTTCAGCCACACTCTGGTTGCCCATGATCTTCAGTCATACTGAATGGCAAGTCGACGTAAGCCCTCCGAGCCGTTATGAAGTTCAAAACGCTATAGGAAATCTGAAGCGAGGGCGAGCTGCAGATCCTGATAGATTGACCAAAGAGATATTTAAGGATTGCGGTCCAGATTTAGCAGCTAGATTGACTGAGATCTTAGCTAGAGTCTGGGAACTGGACGTAATCCCATCCGACTGGTCTCAATCACTGATTGTCCCAATCTATAAGAAAGGACAAAAGTCTTCTTGTGACAATCACAGGGGAATCAGTCTAACTAATATAGTATCTAAAATTTTGGCCTCAATAATAATTCGGCGCTTAACTAAAGCTCGGCCATGTTTCGCAGCCATGTAGTAAGTAGTACGGATCGAACTACTGCTCAGTACACCCGTCCCTTAGTCATCAAACGGATATCTCGCCTACGCCATAAGTGACGCAGGTTGGCAAAAGCCAATCGAGCTTTCTGTATCCGAGCTGAGATTTCGTCAGTCACCAGGCCATCGGCACTGATGAGACTCTTATGATAAGTGAAGCGCCCAACACGCTCAACTACTTCACTCCCTATCACTAGTTCAGGTGCCGATGAAACCCAATCCTCAGTCACCATTTTGCATTTTGAGGGGGGAAATCGCATCCCGAACATGCTTGCATTGTTGCTTAGGGTTGTCAGAAGCCTCTGCATTTTGTCAGCGTCTTCACCAAGTAGGACTATGTCATCGGCATATTCTAGGTCAGTAGGCGATCCTCCTGGTAGAAGGTCTACCCCTAAAAAATCTGACGAGGATAACGTTAAATTTAAAAGGATGTCTACGACAATGTTAAACGAGAATGGGGAGAGTGGACATCCCTGACGGACACCACTTGAAGTAACTAATTTCGTTGACAGTTCGCCATAAGCTCTTACTCGACCAGTGGTGTTCGAGTAGAGTGCTTGTATAAGGTTAATGTACTTCTTTGGTACACCTTTCAATGACAGACACTGCCACAGAACCTCACGATCAACGAAGTTGAATGCCGATTTGAGGTCGAGAAATACTACTATTGTCGGACGCTTAAATGTGTGTCTGTGTTCCAGGAGCTGTCGTAGTGTGAAGATGTGGTCGATGCAGCCGCTTCCAGGTCGAAAACCAGCCCGGTTTTCTCTAGTCTGCTCTGCACGAGCTTTAGTTAAGCGCCGAATTATTATTGAGGCCAAAATTTTAGATACTATATTAGTTAGACTGATTCCCCTGTGATTGTCACAAGAAGACTTTTGTCCTTTCTTATAGATTGGGACAATCAGTGATTGAGACCAGTCGGATGGGATTACGTCCAGTTCCCAGACTCTAGCTAAGATCTCAGTCAATCTAGCTGCTAAATCTGGACCGCAATCCTTAAATATCTCTTTGGTCAATCTATCAGGATCTGCAGCTCGCCCTCGCTTCAGATTTCCTATAGCGTTTTGAACTTCATAACGGCTCGGAGGGCTTACGTCGACTTGCCATTCAGTATGACTGAAGATCATGGGCAACCAGAGTGTGGCTGAAGGCCAGTTGAACTGATCCCTAAAGTGTTCTGCCCATCGATCCAGTCTCCTGGATTGCGAATAAATAATAGTCTCGTCATTTTCTGAGACAGTCTCACTTACACTAGGATTCCTAATACCAGTTTCCTTGGTAAGTCTGAAAAGGTATCTACTGTTGCCGATCGCCGCTGCCTTTTCCATCGCTTTTGCTTTCGCCACCCACCACTGTTCGCGGTCGTTACGTAGGCTTTTTATAAGTCTGCGCCTAAGTTGACCTTGTTCTTCATCATGTTCAGAGCCAGGTGGGATGAGTTTTCGAGCATCCATCAGATCGGTGGATGCTACTGAGATCCACGGCTTCATTCTTGCCTTATGGTCAACCTTACTAGCAGATATCACTCCTGTTTCCACAGCCTTTTTGATATTATTCCATCCTGCTTCCGGATGGGAATCGCTTAAATGGTCGCCTAACTGTCTTTCTAGTTGTTCCTGAAATATATTTTTCGCCTTATTATCATTAAGTAAAACCCTAAGAGGCTTTCTACGTCTTTCCTACGTCCAGTAAGCCTCAAACAAATACGCTCTCGCACTAGAGCATGATCTGAATCTAAACATGTGCCCCAGAACGAGCGACAGTCCTCTATCGAACCACTCCATCGGTGGCTGATGGCAACGTGATCTAGTTGCGTCCAACGTTGAGACGACATTGGGGGCCGCCAGGTCAACAGATGTTTTTACTTATGCCTAAAGTTAGTGTTTGCTAAGAATAGACAGTTGTCTGAGCATACTTGCAACAGACGGTCGCTATTGTCTGTTCTCTGAGCCGCGACACCATAACATCCACCTAGGTGTCTTTCATTTTCACCTAGTCTACCTACTTGAGCATTAAAGTCACCAGCCATTAATACTATATCAGAGCGCCTAGCTTTTTGGAGGAGGTCCGAAAGCTTTCTGTAAAACTCATCTTTAACCTCGTCTGAACTGCAGTCAGTGGGGGCATAGGCAGATACGACGAAGAGGCAACGGCGAGTGTCCCTATCTTTCCGAATCCTTATTGTTCCGTTTAGTCGGACAGCGGACAAGCGACTATCTACTGGGATCCAGTCAAGGAGAGATTGTTCAGCTCTACGACTCAATGCTATGCCTACGCCAGCAAGACCCCGGGAAGCAGCATCAGGGCTTCCAGATACACGAAGAGTAAATTGAGCTGCTTCTTTATTTTAACAAGGTGAAATCAGATTAATAATTTTACTAGGATCCTGTATGCGCGTTTCCGAGACGCAGCATACATCGGTGGCACGAGATTCTAAAGTCCTAGCTAATGATGCCTGTTGCCCTATTTGACACAATGTCCGTATATTAAATGCTCCAACATGTAATTTAGAATGAGGTTTCAGGAGACCCGGAATGACGTTTCGTGAACTCTCTTCGTTTGCATTAGCAGTGCAGTGAGAAAAGGGACTGTGAGTAGAGTTCGTTGTGGAGAGAAGAGAGGTATGTGTGGGTGTAGGAAGGATTTGATTTCGACCAGATTGGTCTGTCATGCTGTTACGGGTACGAGGGCGGTTGTCACTTCCCGGCTGCCCGAACCGTTGTTTCTTGAGGGACCTGAAAAGGAAGATAGATTAGTGTTGGTATTGGAGACCTGGGTGCGTGACCGCAGAGCCCAAGGGACAACTGCTTGAGGCCGGTCACGCACGGCCTTTTTATGAAAGGTATTTTGAGGATTAGCTCCGTTCTTAAAGGCCCTTAATGGGCACCTCTGCAGTCAGCAGGACGACTTCGCCCTCAGACTTTGAGTAGCTGCTTTTAGTCTCATCGTTCTCCAATCGACCTGCCTGACATGGTAGAACCTTCAGGAACATATGTTCCAGCCAGTATAGCTCGGTTGGGTCATCACGATAGGCAAGCCAGACCACCACGTCAAGGTAGCAGCTACGGTCGGGACTAAAGATCTTGGGCAACCGAAGTATGGTTGAAGGCCAGTTGAACCGATCCCTGAAGTCTTTTGCCCATCGATCCAATCTCCTGGTTTGAGAATGAATGGTACGACCATCCTTTTCTTAGATAGTTTCGCCAACAAATGGATTCCGAGTACCGGTTTCCTTGATAAGGTCAAACAGTTGTCTGCTGCTACCTATCGCCGCTGCTTTTTACATCGCTCTTGCTTTCGCTACCCACCTTTGTTCTCGATCATTGCGTAGGTTTTTGTCAGCCTGCGCCTGAGCTGACTCCGCTCCTCATCGTACCCAGAGCCAGGTGAGATGAGTTTCCGAGTATTTATCAGTTCGATAGATGCTACTTAAATCCACTGTTTCTACCTAACCTAATGGTTTACCTTACTAGTAGATATCTCTGCTGTTTCCGCGGCTATTTGGATATCGTTCCAAGCAGCCTCGGGGTGGGAATCACTAACAAGTCAGCTCAACTGTTTTTTTAGTTTCCAGCATGATCGCAGAGCCCAAGGGACAATTCCTTGAGGCTGATCACGCGCCGTTTTTTAATGAGAAGTTTTCAAAGTGTCAGCTCCGCTCTTGTTTAAAAGGCCTTACCGCCGAAGTCAAAAATCGGTGAGGTAAGGTGATGTGACATTTTAGGGTCAACCTTTTCAAATTCCTTCCTTCTTTGTGAGAAGGCAGCATCTCTGCAGGTGCTGGTTGTCCGGAGGAAATACCTTACTGCTGTCACGCCCCTCTACAGTCAGCAGGACGACTTCGCCCTCAGACCTTGAGTTGTTGCTTTTAGTCTCATCGTTCTTCAATCGACCTGTCTGGCATGGTAGAACCTATAGGAACATATGTTCCAGCCAATGTAACTCGGTTGGGTCATCACGGTAGGCAAGCCCGACCACCACATCAAGGTAGCAGCTAACGTCGTGATGAATCATCACGGCGATCCCTCACTAGTATAATTTACCATATTTATCAAGGTTGGTCATCAAATGAACTTTATGTTTATCTGGTGTGTATGCATTTACAACATCTAAATTTTTTAAATATCATTAGTCAGAAAAACTGTTGCTTCGTCTAACACTGAAAAGAAAACTATCCCATACACTCAAATTTTCTTAGAATTCTAGTGATTTTATATGTCCTTTTTTAAACATTGCCTATTTTTAAAATCTTGATATTAGCTATGTTTTTGTTTTATCTATCTATTTCTCTGCACGGATTTAAATAATTTTTCATCGGGCTAGGAGTTAATTTTTCTTAATTCATCTTTTAGGTGCCTTTGTGGCTGGTCTCGATGCTGGATTAATATATAATTCGTGGCCGAAAATGGCAGATAAATGGATTCCTGATGATCTGGTTGTTTCTCGATATGGTTCTACTTTAAAAAACTTTTTGGACAATCCAACTGCAGTTCAATTTACGCATAGAATGCTAGCTTACACAACAGTGTTTACTACGGGATTATTGTGGGCAAATGTTATGCGCTTAGGTGTAGCATGTACAGGACCACGTATTAGGAATGCTGCACATTTAGTTCTAGGTGCTGCATTGGGACAGTCACTTCTTGGTATAACAACTTTATTATATTACGTACCGGTTTCATTAGCTTCATTGCATCAATGTGGTGGTGTTGTCCTACTTTCATCCCTACTTTGGTTTACACATTGTTTACGTGCTGTTCCAAAATAAACATGCTAACACCATTTTTTTTAGAAAATACAACTTTTTTTCATTTCATTCATTCATTTACGAAATGTTAGCTTTGACGAATACAGTGCACAAAGTATTCAGATTACTTCAGAATAAGCTAGCCGAAATGAACCAGCTACAATCACTTCCAAGTGTCTTTTTTTAGTTGCATTAGTCTTGAGGATAAAATGCAAGATTTTGACCTGTGAAAAATACCAATTTCTTGATTGGAAGTATCATTCTGGTGACTAGAGTCCTTGTATTGATAATAACTTGGAAATACTCGCAAATTGATTGCTAAGTTTCGGTTCGTGTACGGTAGTGTTCTAGTGTATACATAAATCAGTAAATTTCACAATTCAAACATTTAAACGTCAATGGTTAAAGTTGTTGAAAATAAACTAGTTCAATTGGATAGAAACATTTAAGATATATATTTTCTGGTACGATTATATGATATAACGGTATCCGTTAGAAAGCCTGAGCGACATGTCATTCAATCGGAATCACCCATACTATATTATTTCGAGTGTTTCGATTTTTAACCTGTCACATTTGTTCATTGTGAATGAGGCAACTTTCATCAGTGTACATTCGAATCGAATCTTTAGCATACACTGTATTCACTAGTTCTAAATACTTATTGCACTAACAATAAATTTATATATAATGATAAGTCCTAGATCTTAATTTTGAGAGGTAATTCTTGAAATTCTAACGAGAAAACGTGACTAGTTGAATTCAAACATGTCAGTAGTGAAGCAGAACCACCAGTGGCATTACAATATGGTCGCCAGAACTGTAACCAGCGAGTCGTACAGGGCCTGTACAGCTTTCTTTCATACCATGACATTGTGTCATATACTGACCACCAATCTACTCTTTCCAACCAGTCCCAGCATTGGCGAATATTGAATGATGTGGAATTTACTGGAACAACATTCGTAATACATATCCAAACCACAGGAGCCGGTGCTCAAAGGTGGTCACGTTGGCTGATTTACAGTCACTGTGCCCGAACACACCTTGCCAAACTTCCTTGCACTACTAACATGGTGTTTTCACTGAATGTAACCAATCCTTCGGAGACAACCACGGTCAAACACACAGAGTCGCTTAATATCCTCAACTTGGAGACACCAGGTTTAACAAGCTGTTCTCATCGACTCATTATAGACCCGAGCTTTTACAGCCAGATTAACATCATAAAACTATCAAAGATAGCCCAAATTGACATAAACATTCTGGCTTCCACTACACGTAGACTGATCCTATCACTACCATCACCAACAGCACCTACACAGATACACGAACTTCCCGACTACATTTAAGTGATCACTATCAAGAGTGAGTGCAGGTTCAGGCTCCCACCAGTCTTGTAAAAGTACTTTCACTTAGAAAGTAGAAACCACATGCCACACCCATAGACACTGATTACCAAGTGATTAGTTGTAGATTGCATGGCTTGGGAACCATTGCACAGTACAACAATACCATCCGCATACACAAAATCGGGAAGTCTTAATCCAGCAAACATGTCTACACAACCACTGCCTACATTCATCGAGCCTGCTTCTAGAACGTCATCGATGACGACATTGGAGAGGAATGGTGAGATTGGGCAACTCAGCCTAACCCCACTGCGTGAACGAAACAATGTAGAACAGTGATTTTAAGGCCCTAAGTCTGTACATACGTACGTGCGTTGTAGCTGACTAACTAATCCCAAAATTTGAACAACCAGGTGGGATATTAGAATTCCACCCTACATACGGAATGCTCTTGCAGTCTCTTAACATACGATTAAATTCGACATTAGTGTGATGCGCCTCTATTTCACGAATCTGTACGTGGCTGATGAGTGGTAGTTTATCGTGAAAGAATATATTAATGCGAATACATAAGGACCAATCATATTGCCGTAAACAAATTCAAATTGCCTAGAAGGAGATATTAAGTGATGATGAATTTCTAGACAAACCAAAAGTATATATTCTAATTCTATAAAACCCGTAACCTACTACAGCTTTTTTCCTTGAACGAATTCCTCCTTACACTGAATAAAGTCTCATAGTTTCCTGTTTAGAGTTGTAGATTAGAAATACACCTAAGAATGGCACATTTTCACACCGCAATTGCGTAGACAACACCCGTGCCTTAAGAAGGCAGTGAGTCGGACTTCCATAGCAGTAGCTATACAAGCGTGGTCATATGACAGCATCTCGAAACAGAGAACAGACTCTCCCCACTGTTGGCCGTACTGGGGTGTTTGATGGCTTTAATGCTCCTACTCTGCCTGATGTGTTCAACTGCTTCTCTCCGTATCACAAGTTCAGATGCCGATGAAACCCAATCCTCAGTCACCATTTTTCATTTCGAGGCTGAGAATCGCGTCCCGAATATGATTGCATTGTTGCTTAGAGTAGTCGGAAGACTGCATTTCGTCAGCTTTTTCACCGAATAGGACTGTCATTAGCCTATTCTAAGTCAGCAGCGTGTCTCTTGATAAAATGTCCACTCCTAAAGAGTTTGACGATGATAGTGTTAACTCTAAAAGCATATCTGCGACAAAGTCAAACAAGAATGGGGAGAGTGGACATTCCTGACGGATACCACTTGAAGTAACTTATTCCGATGACAGTTCGCCATAAGCTCTTACTCGACCAGTGGTGTTCGAGTAGAGTGCTTGTATAAGGTTAATGTACTTCTTTGGTACACCTTTCAATGACAGACACTGCCACAGAACCTCACGATCAACGAAGTTGAATGCCGATTTGAGGTCGAGAAATACTACTATTGTCGGACGCTTAAATGCGTGTCTGTGTTCCAGGAGCTGTCGTAGTGTGAAGATGTGGTCGATGCAGCCGCTTCCAGGTCGAAAACCAGCCCGGTTTTCTCTAGTCTGCTCTGCACGAGCTTTAGTTAAGCGCCGAATTATTATTGAGGCCAAAATTTTAGATACTATATTAGTTAGACTGATTCCCCTGTGATTGTCACAAGAAGACTTTTGTCCTTTCTTATAGATTGGGACAATCAGTGATTGAGACCAGTCGGATGGGATTACGTCCAGTTCCCAGACTCTAGCTAAGATCTCAGTCAATCTAGCTGCTAAATCTGGACCGCAATCCTTAAATATCTCTTTGGTCAATCTATCAGGATCTGCAGCTCGCCCTCGCTTCAGATTTCCTATAGCGTTTTGAACTTCATAACGGCTCGGAAGGCCAGTTGAACTGATCCCTAAAGTGTTCTGCCCATCGATCCAATATCCTAGATTGAGATAGTTTTATTACCGGTTTCCTTGATAAGGCGGGAAAGCTGTCTGCTGTTGTCTATCGCCGCTGTCTTTTCCATCGCTTTCTCCACCCACCAATGTTTGCGGTCTTTGCGTAGCTTTTTATAAGTCTGCGCTTAAGCTGACTTTGCTCTTCATCATGTTCAGAACCGGGTGGGATGAGTTTACGAGCGTCTATCAGTTCAGTGGATGCTGCTGAGGTCCACTGCTTTTTCCTAGCCATGTGGTTTAGCATACCAGCAGAAATCACTGCTGTTTCCACAACTTTTTTAATATCACTCCAAGCTGCCTCCGGATGGAGATCACTTACATGGTTGCCTAACTGTCTTTCTAGTTGCTCCCAAAATATAATCTTAGCTTTTCCATCATTTAGTAGAACCATAAGAAGTTCCCTTGCGATGTCTCTCCTACGTCCGGTAAGTCACAAACAAATCCATGAAGTCATTGACGAGTGGACTTAACGATGTCGGTAGTTGTCGACTACCTTGTTGGGGTCCGCGAGATGATAATAATCGATGGTTAGAGACCCTGAATGACATGGCTCAAAATCGTTCGCAATGGACTAGAATGCTCTTACTCTTTCTAAAATGTTTGTATATTGGGCCTTCAAGATGTTAATAAACTTCTCAGGTTCATCATGCTTCTTAGGTAGACAATTCCAGAGAGCAGTACTACCACTGTTACTAGTTTTTAGCCGAGGTCATCAACCACAAACTATGATCATGGTTCTGATAAAAACCGGACTGTTTTCATTCCTCCTAACATAGCTGAGGAACAAACTAGCAGTTTTTGAATTTATCTAGTGATGTCACGTCTCGGTTTGACTGACTCTAAAATTCTTACAACTTTATTTTACTCATAGGATTCCAAACACAACAAGTGTGAAGTTCAACATGCTCAAACAAAGTTACTTGTTAATTAAAGCTGACTACATAAGCAGCCTTGAAAACCACAGATTTTTGTATTATAGATATGCAATATTTGCAATTAGTTTTTGTTCAAATACATATGCAAGCTGAAAAATAAATAAACGAAAGATTTTTCACACTCACCATAAATTATGGTCGCAAATGTCAGAGCTTTCCCCATATGACCATATGCTTTAAGTCGTTTTATGCCACTGAATGGTTTAACCTATTAAAAGTTTATAAATTAGGATGTACTCATGAAACAAGTAGCTCAAATACTAACTAAAAACTTATGCTAATGTAGCTGTTTTTCATAACCAGCGAAATCAGATGCTAAATTTAAGTGTAAACTGTTACATATAATACTACTGAAAGTTAAACCAGGTGTACTGTACCTAACTCGTATAACTGACTAATGTGTAGGTTTAAAGTTAATGAGGCGGCCTTGAAGTGCATTGTGTTATGTTGCACTAACAATTGTTTTGAAAACCGAACAGTACTTGACAACTCTGCTGAATACCTGCCTTTAGAATAACTTTGTATTCAATTTGCTATTTCAATACTAAATTCCTTTTTTAATGAATTAAAATCTTTCATTAAGTCACTTCTCGCAATCGAAACGAATCTACTAAATCAATTTAAGGTAACTAGTTTGAAGATTATTATAGATTAGTGACAAAATAATTATATTTTCCAGCTTTTGTAAGTTCCCTAATCATGTAAAATAGTTGAACGCTGACATTCAGCAATCATTCATCGAATTAATCCTTTGTATTTCTGTTTTAATATATATGTCAAGATATTTCTGATTACTTTTGAGTTTGGATGTTTAGGTGTAATTGCTGTAAAACGAATTTGATTCAAATATTGAGTTTCACTTTGGGAATGTGTGATTGCAAGATCACACCACTAACTACTTTAAAATTCTTATCTTATAAAAAGTTTTGGTGGCAGTATGGAGTATGTAAAATTTGCTCAGTTTCAAGTACTGTGGTGCAGACGGGGATCCAAATCAAACAACAGCTACAGTCCAAGTACCTCAGTATGCGTAACAACTTCGGGTGGGAGCCATAAATGTCGGCACATTTAAGGAACCTACTGCGTAGTTTAGTTAGGAACAAATGACTGTGACAATCTTGAGTCTTAAAAATGTTAGAAAACATACTAACGTGAAATGTTTAGTGTGCGTCCTTCCTACAAGAGGTTTAAAAGGATTTTTCTGAATACTAAAATATAAAAATGAAGCTTAGGTTTATGTAATTCTGAAAAATATCTATGGAAAATTCATTAAAGCTTTTAGTTATATGACACACTGTTTGATAACCGTATTATATTTAGATACATGTATAACATAGTCACTCGTTTTCTTTTCTTTCCATGGAAGTAAAGTGACAGAGATACGTCATTTTTTATCCGAATGAGATGATAATCAGTCATTTTTGATTAGATTCATACTGAGATAGGTTTAAATTTATATTAAATGGGCAGAATCATCTGACATCGATTCCTAATGTTCAATATAGATAAAAACATGAAATGCAAGTCTTTACTTTGGTACAACAATCACAATAATATCAAAGATGATACCTAACTTATCTTGGAATCATTATTATCAAGTCATTGTTGGTTAAAAACGAGACTTGAACTTTTTGATGTCCAAATGTTATGCGGAGATTGAATTGAAATTGGCGAGCATACTCTAAAATTACCATTTAATAATCAGCTTTACAAGATAAACATAGAAGTCACACTTACTAAAGAATGGGAAGCTAAATGGCTAAAGCTACCCCACAATAGTAATGAATACAGAACAATTGCTGAAGCCAAGTGAGCACAAAGCCAATAATGATCCACACGCGGAACGCCAATATAATTTTCATTTGGTGAAAGTCCCGCTGGTCTTCTAGGTTCTTTTAGACCACTTCGTACCATAAGCCAGCCCAAAACACCCTACAGTGAGAAAATGTATCAAGAGATTACACGCATGTCATAATAAACACGAAAAACCAAATTTTATGGTGTTTAGCAACATCTTTTGATTCGAATGCTTGACGCTACCGAATTAAAGTCACAAGAAGCCTATTGCAAACTCTTAACTGAAGGATATTTTAATATCTGGATTACAAAATCTTTTGACCAGATTCTTGTGATAACTACTACAAAATCCGACAGCTTGGTGCAGTGGAGTGCCGTAGAGGCCAAAGTGGTTAGAAAGCTAATCAGGTGATCAATATCATTGATCAATTCAGTAGTCTTGGGATTATTAAGTGTGAACCAACTAGATCGGTTTCTGTGAATGGCATTTGGCACAGATAAGCCCTTTGGAAATACAAACTAAGCATAAAACATTGGTGAAATGACCTATCCATCTCAAATCGTAAGCACCTTTCTGTTTATTCATCATATCAAATATCACATATGAGATACGAGATAGTATTTGAAAACTTCTTGACGAGTAAGATCGACTGTATGCATCCTACAAAATTTGCCTGCGTTAATTTGAAGAGAATGCAGGGAATCGCAAGTGACTTTTAGCACTCATCTAGTTGCGGTTATTCATGAATTTCAGAAAATGGTGATAGTAATGGTATCGATCGAACTTTAGAGTTTAGTAACTTTTAATTCATACACGACATGGAACCTGGCATACGTGTACATCGGTCCAAGTTGTTGTACTGCATTAAAACAGAGATAAAATTCTCAGGGCGAATCTCAAAGTAGCAGGGGTAGTAACTGTATTACATCAAGGTAGTCGGTGAATGAGTATACGTAATACATGTCCAAAAGTTTAAAAATGATTCGTACCATAAACCCTAAACAATCAATTACTCGTGAGGATAGCAATCTAATCAAATGGTTGTTGAAATAAAACACCTTACGCTTAGTTTTTGAAAAGTGTTTAGACAATCTGCCTTAGGCAAAAGATGTTGATGACTTGAACTACGGATTGTTAATGAATCATCCAACTTAATTATCCCTTTTTTAGTAATAGCATATATATTTCTATGTATTTGTGAGTATCGTTCGAAAACAATCCTCCAACTAGCCTTATTTTCAATAAATTCCTAGGGATGAGAACCAATTTTGAGAGATAATTAAGCTGAATAGTGGGATTTTACCATTATGTAGTATAAATAATAGTACTCCAAAGTTTAAATTAACACTGACTTTTTTTTATCTACGATACTCTCCGTTCCCATTTAACTTTGTCATTGACATGCTTTTAAAAACGATACTTTGATCGTCTGACTTTTAAGCTCACCTTCTACCAGGAGACTCGCTTGTTGACTTAGAATATGCAGATCACATAGTTCTTTTCGATGAAGATCCTGACGAAATGCAGAGTCTTCTGACTACTCTAAGCAAGTCAGCTGCTACGTAGAATTTCGTACGTAAGTACATCAGTTCATGTTGTCATACCACATTAGCACAGAGACGCAATTGTCAATTCAAATCCCATAGTGATAGAGATAGTAGAAGTACTATTGGTAAAGGAGAAGATGAGGGTTCCAAGATATTATTGAAAAAGTGTAATTAAGTGAGATAAGTTTAAAAAGACAAAGGTAGAGGTGTTGACGAATCCAGAAGATTGGGATTTGGGAGAACACAGAGAGTGGATGCACCTGCGCCATTGCAAACGATTTTGAGCAATGTCATTCAAGGTCTGTAACCGTAACAGCACACGAGACCAAATTGTTCACAATCAAATCCTTCCTACACTAAGCAACAATGCAAGCATGTTTGGGATGCGATTCTCACCGCCGAGATGCAAAATGGTGGAGAAAACTTGTAAGTCAGGTGGATGATTGTGGTGGTATTTTGTTCTCTGAGCTGGTTGTTTTGGTTGTGGAGATTTCATTGTTCTTCTGAACAACATCATCAGCACAAACTTCAGATAGAAGAAGTGAAGCATTCGAATATCTCCACGTTTGACCTGTAGCTTGTTCTGCTAACCTCGATCTTGATTGGTTGCTGTTGACCTTAAACCTGTCCTTGTCTGCATCTTTGTTTTGATTGCACCCCCCTTTTGATCTGTTTCTTGATCCTGTGTCACCTATGATTTTTCTGATTGGTTGATAAATTGAAAGAAATCGGGAAGTATTGTTTTAATCTAGTTCGAAACTTTCTAGTAATGTAGATTTATAATCTAATGTGGTTTCGAGTTTCTAACCTTCAGCTTTACTGAGTTGGCTGGCACTTAACGATCGAACAGTTACTGGTAACTTCAATTATTTTTGTAAACTAACCATTTACAATTTGGATATGTAATCTAACTTGCTTATTCAACGGTATTTCGTTAATTAGTTAGTCATAAATATTATCATGATAACATTGAAAATAGTGAGTGCGAATTTTGTACAATTCGAAAAACACTACTGATTAATTTGCTATTTTTTTACGTACTCACGCTTGTTGTACGTTCCACAAATGTATCAGTTAAGCACTAAAATTTCATATTAATTTGTGTATATTATTACAAACCGATGCATAAATCTCCAACCACTGAGGTAAAAAAATAATATCGAAACGCACACACATTTTGGCTTATGTAACAAGTTTAACATAAAATACATTTTGGCAAACGAGTAACTAGGTTTCTCACTATTACACTGGTTTTCGACTTAAAAATATAGTTTTCATTTTAGTGCAAAAACAACCCGGTACGGAGCTAAGTAACTTGGGTGTTTTTAATTTAAAAGAGCTAGGCAAACCTCAAGTTATAATGCAATTTTTTTTCAGAGAAATTGTCCTGATTTTTATAAAATATTTAATATGATTGGCTATGATGGTCAATAGATAAAATCGGTTCAGGTTATTCCACTGATTAACTAATCGATGCCTCTTGTGTACTCGAATGAGAAGGAAACGTTTAAGCTGGAAAAGCACTTACTTATTGGCGTTTTCCAATGTACTGAACAAATATTATTTTGTATGTTCTTCTCTAATTTAATCTTTTCTCAAACCACCAGATCAATTAATTGTTCGATTCTTCAATGACAAAGGTAACTATGATTAATTGAAACAATAAAAATGAGTAAAGAGTTGTGTACATTGGCATATTATTTAAAAGATTGACAAAGACGCATATTCACTAAAGACTAATTTTCCGGTGAATTCCCAGAGATGTGACTAACACAGTTCAAATATGTTACTACTGAAAGAGGAAAATAGAAATTTTACCCACTAAATTTTTAACTCATTTATTCAAACTTGACTTCGATTCTTGTGGATTGGCGTGTGTTTAATGCTGGGGAGTTTCAAACAAGAATCAGATAGCTGTCTACCGTTCACTATGTGATAATTGATCCTAAGCTGGAGATCAGTCAGTTACGGGAACAACTTGTACACTTAGCTACGACCAAACCATGACTATACAAATTAGTAGAATCTGTCTACATATAGTATAATGCATTATTTTTGGTGATTATCTTTCATTTGAATTGATTAAAGTTTCAACAAGAATTTAAAACATGTAGAAATGATGGAGTTAAAAGTTAAGTTGCTGGCTAACTGATTTCGTACTACTCAAGAGATTTCAGTGTTCTTCAAGTGTCATTCAGTGTAGGATTGTTTATGCATATTATTGAATGGTTTCAAACTAAGACAAATAAGTTATCCCCTTGTTCACCAGTATTTTTTGAATCTCCAACTGGTATAAATTCATGGTTTTCGAAGTTAATGAATTTTTAATTTTCACTTCCTCATCGTGAATGAATGCTAAAATGATCGATCTTTTAAGGTGATATTTCCATCTGCTCCGCTACGAGGACCAGATAAACACCTTGTATTATTCTATATAATTCAGATTTTAAAACTCATATAACCTAGGTGGAGGATTGTGGTGGTGTTCCGTTCTCTGAGCTGGATAAACAGTTGGACAACCAAAATCTAAACGACTTTAAATAAGCTTGTCAAAACAGGACAAAAGTCTGCTGGAACTCATCGATCTATGCTTAATAAAGTATTTTCAGTTCAACAACAGAGTCTACGAACAAACAAAAGCAACACCGATGGGATCACAATATCAGGACTCGTAGCGGAAGCTGTAATTCAGAGACTAGAAGCGTCAGTTTTACCAGTGATCAAACCAAAAATGTGGGTTCGCTATGTAGACGACACATTCGTCATTATCAAAAGGAACGAACTAGAGAACATCTACAATCGGATTAACAACGTCTTCGATGACATGAAATTCACTATGGAAAAGAAATCAAACAACAGTCTATCATTCCTGGATGTACTAATCACCAGAACCAACGCAGGAAAACTGGAAACTCAAGTATTTCGGAAACCAACCCACACACGTGATTCTCAACTACGATAGCAACAACCCAAGAACACACAAAATCAACTGCGTACAAACTTTGTTCAAGAGAGCCAAGATACACTGCAGCACATATGAAGCACTTAGAAACGAGGAAAAATACCTTGTGACTATCTTCCAAAAGAACGGCTATCCACGCAACTTCATCAAACAACATCAACCGAAATGGTCAACAGAAACAAAATCAAGTACAGGAACCAATAAACAGATCATCCTACTATACATAAAGGACATATTGGAGCATACAGCACGACTACTGAAACCATTTGGAATAGGTGTGGCACACAAACCAACAGAATCACTTCAATCAATCTTATGTAGACCAAAGGACAAAATGACAAATGAAGAAAAACCAAATATCATCTACAAAATAAATTGCTCAGACTGTGAAAAACACTACAAAGGACTGGTATAGGGTTAGCCTAAAAAATGGCTAGGGGCGGCCTAACCAAAACATGGCAGAAATCCATGAAGTCATTGCTGAATGGACTGAACCATGTTAATATTTGCAGACTCCTCAGTTGGGTTTAGTGAGACAATAGTTCCTAATGGTTGGAAACTTTGAATTTCATGGATCAAAATCTTTTGCAATAGCGTATTTGCACTC